ACATCTAACTTGATGTTAACTATTAACACTAACTTGATGTATGGTAGATCAAGGCTGTTTGGTCACATACATTGGTCTATGATGACAGCAGGTAGCTGAGAAAATGGGGTGGTAAATCTTGGGGGGGGGGTGCAGAGACGCAGACATGGGTGATGCGTGTGTTGGGCTCTGTGAAGTCCGAGGGGCTGCACTGGGGCCAGAGCCTCAGCTGCTTATTTAATTACTACTGACCTTTTCTAAGCTGAGGGGCACTTTTTTCCTGTTCTCTGAGTCGCGTTATTCCGTTTGACACAGCCTCAGGTGAGGCTGTGCGGTTGTCATGCCAGAATTTTCCCATTGATTTCTGGCTGAGGACCAGAAATGTGTTAAGTGGCTGAGCAATTGAAGTCTGATCTTGTTTTACGGTTCCAACCCCTTTTACAAAGTGGCTTGGTAGAGCCATGCATTGTGAAGGTTTCTCAAAGGGCATTGGGAGCTGAATCAGTGTGCAGACTGGGTGGCATCAACCTTCTCTGATTTATTTATACGCACCTTGTGACTGCAAATAGTGTCCATGTCAGCTCCTGTGTTGGCTTTGTTTTCTTGACCAGGCAGTTGACTTTGTTCTGAATGTAAAAAGAATCTAAGCAGCCAGTATGTCGCAACAACCCCCAAAGGAATTCCGTATAGTATATGGAATATTAACGCCATTGTCCTGATAACATGCCTTCACGTCCTGTTCTGAAGATGAATGTCAGAAATGTGGTCACGCTTCCGGTCATGCGTGTAGGCTCCAGACCTCATCAGAACGTGCAGACCAAGGTAGGCCTGAGACTCAGTAAAGCTAAGTTAAAGTGGACAATAGATCTCATGTGCCATCCTCTTGGAGAGAGCGCTCTGGCTTATGTTAATGAAGGGATCCCCTTTTCTGCTGCTATAATGGTTTCGGATGCTGGTGAAAACCTGCAGCAGACCTTTCTCACCATGCCCGTTCGCTTCCTAGTGGAGGGAGCCGCTGTCTCTAATTATTTAATCGACTGCATCTGCTGTACATCTGCTGCAAGCAGCATGGTGCCTCCCAGGGGCTGCCCAGCAGCTTTGAATCAGACCACACCAACATTGTTGAAAATTGAAATATTTTGAAACAAAAATCCACTGTGAAATAGTTCCTCCAATCATTACATTTTTTAAAAAATTAATGGATTTTTTATTTTGCGCGAATTGGAGTTGGTGTCCTGCTGTAGTTTGATATGTAGACTTGCTGATGTTCTAGTACTCGCACATTTTTTTTTTTATGTATGGGACCCACATCCCTGAATGTGCATCAGTTCGTGATGATGTCACACAGCATTAGGTGCATCATAAAACATGACGTGACCCTATATTTCAGAAACCAGTAGTTCTGTCCATGCAAATGTCAGAGGAACATTTCTGCTTCAGTTAAGAAGTACAGATGGATAGTTCATGGCCAAAAAATAAAAATTCAGACCAAGATTTTGTTTCAACTGACCAGGCTCAGTTACAGAGTACTCAATTGGTTGGACTTGAACTCTCCACTTCTGTTTAAGAGAATGTCCCAGACCAGCTCCTCTGACTGTGCTAGGTATCTCAGGATTTAATCTGGTCCTTTAACCATCTTTTTGTGACTTTGTGTCACGCCCCCCGACGGCATCAACTACCAGCACATCCAATAACAATTCAGTTCACACCTACACTTGCACATACAAGAATGGGCAGATATGAGGTTGTGCGATCAATATCATTATTATTATTACTTTTTAGAGTAATTTATAGATATAAGGGGGGGGGGGGGGCCACACTGGAATTGAATATCTTTACACTGTAACTTTAATTAAAAATAAAGTTGTCCTCCAAAGGGGGGGGGTGGTGGTAGGCAGAAAAAAAGGAAGAAAGGGAACAAAGAGGAGGTACTGGAGCAATCTGATTGGCCCAGCTGCCCTGTGCGATGTGCTGTTAGCAAAGCAGGACCCGGGCAGCATCTCGGAGCGTTGCCAGGCAGCCATGATGCTGTCAGATAGAGAGAGGTGTTCTAGATGCGGAGGCGTCTGTGGTCCCTCTGCTGTCCTTCTGACAGAGCCGGGAGCCCTCAGAGCTGACATGTGGCGCCTCCCGCTCACTGTAAGGGCCGATTACGCAAGTCTGGGCATGAGGCTACTGGTCTGAGTATTTCCAGCCCCGTTGTCCGTCCCAGTCCCAGGCCTGGCTGCTTCTAGGAGCCCATGGCTAAGAATAAATCGTCAAATGTTATAGAGGGAAAATGCAGTGTCCTGTTATTCAGGGGAGGCAAGCACGTGATGCCAGGACACATTACCAAATGCTAATTTTAAACTCTCACAAGGTGTCCGTGACGTGTGACCGATGTTGTGAATATGCAGCGATTGCAGCCTCCACTGTTCCACCCTGCAGGGAGAACTAGGAAGGAGTCCTTGGACAGCAATACTAGCTTTAACAATGGCATTAATTAAGATGCAAGGGATGGACGGATGGATGATAATGTAAATGTTTGTTGTGATAACACATTCTCATGCATTGAGTCTTGGAGAGCCCACCGATACAGAGTTAAGTTTGAGAAAAAGGAGAAGAATTCAGGGTCATCTGGATTGTCTTCTGTTTCGTGCCCATTTCAATAGTCTGTGGTCCTGGATTTGCAATGGGACAATTTATTTGCAAATCAGAACTAAATTACAAGGAGCTGTAGTATTGATATGCTTTAGTAACGTGGTTGCCTTTATTTCCTCTACCTTATTATGTTTCCATAGTTAGACCTACTTCCATGTAGGAAGTGTCCTAATTTAGCCAATACGTGCTCCAGCAGTACAGTCTATCACACGGCAGTATGGAACTGAACCATCTTGACTGTAGCTAGTCTTTATGCCTGTTACGATTGTCTGTGTCGAGGATCTATGTCCAGCATCCTTATTCATGCCTGTAAAAAATAAAGTTAAACTTTAGCTGAAGTCAGCATGGAAAAAAGTTTTTATATGTGTATGATCTTCTCTTTTTGTTTAAAACCTGCTAGGAACAAGGGCAAGCCTGAGCATTATAGCCAAGGATTATGGGAGCTTACCTTGCTGAGAAATGTCATAGGGCATTTAGGGGATTTGGCCTGTTGTGTTTTTCCACTTACTTTCAAAATGGCCTCGGGGGTCACTGTACGCCGCACCGCGGGGAAAACGTGACATGATAGAAGCGGAACAATAAGCAGCTATGGAAACGCGAGCTCGCCGCTGCCCCCCTGTCAGGGCTGGGGGGAAGTGCTTCCCAAGCTCCGCTTTCAAAGAGCCCCGAGTCCACGTTTCTGTTTCCTGTATTGCCACACTTTCTGGCTCTTATGGGGCTAGTGCCCACAACCTAGTTCTTTCCAAGAAGGCCTCAGCATTTTCCAAAAACTTCCTGCCATTTTTGTGCAGGAAAAAAAAAATACACAAGCTTTGCTGCACCGCAGTACAGTAATTTTCTTGTTCTAGGACTTGCAAGCAAGTACTTTTTGTACAGGAGTCAACATGCCTACCCCATGTATGTTACAAGTATAGCACAATGTCACTCCCTACATTGGAGACGTTAATTTTCCCAGAGACATCTGAAACAGATGTTTCTATGTAGTTCTGTATAAGTCATTTTTAAGGTTGTAACTTGTCTTTCCTAAATCCTAAACAACCCATTAAATTATTTGATGTCAGCTCTCTCTTGCTTCATAATAAATGGTTTGTTTTTTTATGCGTTAATGGTTCTAATGACAAATGATCAGTTGTGCTTTGTTCAACGAGGAAAAACACATTATACTATTCCAGATTGTAAAGTAGTAAAAATCATCTTTATATGTTTTTAAAATACATGCAGGCTGCGATTTGTTTTTACAAAACAGGTTTTTAATGGATTTGGGTGGAGTACTCATTTACCACACTGTGAAAAGGCTTCAGAAACAATGTCACAAGTCATGACTGCTCAATGGCTGGAGTCGTTCCTCAAAAAAGTTTTGAGCTAGCATACTGCAGTCCTTTTTAGTTGGGACAGATATACTGTAGAACCACACTGCTTGGTATACTTGATGTTGTTCAATGGTGAAACCTGCCCAGGCCTTGTGATCTTCAGGATACAAAGAGAGACGGAATTGAATTTTTGTTACAGAAGCACCACTGTGCTTGATGTGCATGTCATTTAGTTAAACAGATATGCATTCCTCACCTTAAATGGATTGTGACCTGCAAGCCAGGAGGTCTTAGATGTTCAAAAATTATTAACCGAGGAATTCAGCATCTCTTGTCCATTTGGTCGCAGTATTTCATAGTGTTTTTATTGTGTTTAGGTCATTGATGTCAACTTTTGCTGCTTATATGACACCCCTAAAGGAACTTTTGACTTATTTTGAAGCTATGATGAGAATGGTTTCTATTTTGTTTTTGTTTTGCCAAACACAGGATATTGCTGTGTTTGCGGCGTTTGCTCGCCTGCCCTGAAATTATTTTTCTCATTGGAGCAACAATGAGCCTCAGGGGCAGCATTGTACAAACCCATGGGTCCCTAAATGTGAGATGCTCGGAGTGCTTCTGATCTCGTCATTAGGCAGGAATGTGGTAGGAGATCAAACCATCCCGTGCTTATGGAGAACCTCTGCATTTGTTGAGCGGCCTGCAGCACATGCCGGTCCATTCTGCACAAACACAGGTAGTTAGATACACAGCGTCAGGCTCCTCTGAGCCTTCCAGGCCTGCCTGCATGCCCTAAATAGTGTCATTCATGTTGCATACTTCATGAAAGTCACCAGTCTTTTGACAGGTTACTGATGAGTAGTTAAATTTCTCAGAATTTCTAGAAGCGAAAACATACACAGTCTGCCTGTGTTTTCCACACATGTAACAGTGTTTTCTCTGGATTTTTAAAGTACGGGGAATGCTTATTTAGAGGTGTGTATGTTCTCCATGTTGAATGAAGTTTGAAGGATTTTTATGCTGCTTAAAGTGAAGTTAAATTTATGGCTGTTACTCATTCACTTGCTCCAGACGCGGAAGCTGACGAAGGCCGAGAGGCAGAGGTTCAGCGAGGAGGTGGAGATGCTAAAAGGTCTGCAGCATCCCAACATTGTGCGCTTCTACGACTCCTGGAAGTCCACCATGAAGGGCCACAAGTGCATCATCCTGGTCACAGAGCTGATGACATCAGGGACTCTCAAGACGTGAGTGCCCCCCACCGACTCCCCACCACTGAAGCAGGCAGCCTCTCTGAATGCCGTGACCCCCCCCCCCCCAGCCATAGGGTTTGCATTCCTGGGCACCACTGTGGCTGGCAAACCCGCAGCTGGCTGCGTGCGGTTCTAACAGGAAACCCTCCAGTGGGTATGTGCAGCTGCTTGTCTCCAAAACACAACTCTGTGGTCTGTGCATTCAATAAACTAATAAAATACATGATATGGTAAAATAACTAGAACAATAAAAACTAATCAAGTCGCTCCACACTCTCCGTGCCATGCAATTATTTACTTGGTCCAGCCCCAGGCCGCTTAATTGTGATTGGATGACCTCGCCATAAAAACCCATGAGTTCCAAGCACCTGACAAATGGGGCGACTTGTCTGTTCACAGCTCAGATACTCTGCCAATTTTAGCCTTGCCATTCCTGGCAGAACAGTGCCAGGGCTTGTAGGTCACAGTCGGTGATTGACCCATTCCAGATTTGAACCATGAGTAAGGGTCCAATCTAAACCAACAGACCCATGTGAAAGAGTCCATTGCTTGTACTAAAAATGGGCACCTCAGAGTCTCTCTGTACTACTTCTCATGTGACTGAATATATACCCATAATTAGCATAATAAACACAATTTGGGTGCTTTTTGAGTGTTTTTTTTTTCAAGAAATGGTGGGATTTTGTAACCTGGGAAAAACAACCAGAGGTTGAAAGAGTCTGTTTTTAAAGGCAATGACAGATATGATTGTAGGCATTCAGTACTAGGATGCTGTTTCAAAAGTCAGATGCCTTTATCACGGAAGTGTCAAGTACTATCACCTGGAACAGCTATAATCCCAAGATAATCCATAACACATGCAGTCTGCCTTTAGAAGAATGGATTTTCTCTACTATATTGGACACTAGTCCTCTCTCTGTTCACACCATTGATATGTAAGTCTAAGCCATACATGCTTTCAAGATAAACCTTTTTTTAGTTGAGGGATGGTCTCGAAGCTTTTCCCAGAATGGACGACTACAGCAGGCTGCATAGTACTCAGTTATATATCATGTCATATGAAGGTAAATCGAATAGGAAATTCTGGGTCCTTGAATCTAACCCCTCCCATTGAGGAGGAAGGATGGATGAATGTTCAGCTCATGTTCTCCCTACAGGTACCTTAAAAGGTTCAAGGAAATGAAGCTGAAGCTGCTTCAGAGGTGGAGTCATCAGATCCTGAAGGGCCTGCACTTCCTGCATACGCGCACCCCACCCATCATTCACCGCGACCTGAAGTGCGATAACATCTTCATCACAGGGCCCACAGGTTCCGTTAAGATCGGTGACCTGGGACTGGCCACTCTGAAGAGTGCCTCTTTCGCTAAGAGCGTCATTGGTGAGTGCTCTGATACCCTCATCCTTCTCTTTCACTGTGGTTTCAACAGGAATTCCTGTTGGTTCAATAGACCCACGGTCTGCTGGTTCAATAGACCCACGGACTGCAAATGGACAGAATCTTTTAGTTATACATTTCTCTCTCACTGCTGGCACATTGCTTTTCAACCTTAAAGATGAAGTCATGGGCACGTCTCTAATGTCAGAACATCCGTCATGGGTCTTAATTGACTGCCTTATTTATTTATTCGTCCTTCTTGGACACATGCAAGCAATTTGTCTCTGACGTCAGTAACTCTGGGTCCCCTTATCTGTGTTTGCACGGCACATGGCTGCATTGTGGGAAGTGAATCTGTGCGGGTCGTCCTGCGTGTACCATTACAGGGACGCCGGAGTTTATGGCTCCGGAGATGTACGAGGAGAAGTATGACGAGGCGGTGGACGTCTACGCCTTCGGGATGTGCATCCTGGAGATGACCACGTCCGAATACCCCTACTCAGAGTGCCAAAATGCAGCCCAGATCTACCGCAAAGTCACTAGCGTGAGTGATCATTTCAACTAAGGATGCAGTCAACACATGTGTTTCATTCTTATTAATACCTACTGACCCACATCTCCACCAACACTCAAGGTAGATGTTTACAGTTTAACCTCCAGCAACAGGAATGGCTGGATCCCAGGTTCTACCACGTGAATGTCTTGCTTGATGACATTAAACTTGGGCTCTTAACTTGATTAAATGTGCATGACTGTTTACTCTTTTTAGGTGCTTTATTTGCCATTTAGCAGTAATTCAATGTAGCTTTTTAAACTTGGGCATTTCACATATCTGGTTTAGCAAAGAAAGTATACTAGTCTTTGGATCTCGTAATATCATGGTGATCGGCTGTGTGTATCGAATCCTCGGTGCTCTGAAACTGATCGTTTTTTCCACTGCTGGTTTAATCCTGACCAGCAGGGTTTAAGAGGTTATGAATGATTCTTTCAGACTGTGTAAATTATACATAGGCGTGTCTGACAGCAAGGAAAAAGCAAGCTTGTTGTTTAAAACTGATGATTCTGTTTAGAATGTCATTAAAATTAGTTAATATTTTTTCTTTCTAATTTTATTTAAATGGATTTTTACAGCCATTACAGCTGATTCTTACAGAGTAACATTGTAGGTTTAAAAAATATGACTAAAATTTGATTAATCGGGAGTTGGATTTTAACTTTATTACAGTAGCTAAATTGTAACATTTTCCAAAGAATGAAATATTTAAAATTGGACTACCTCTCTCCAGTGGACACCATGAGTTGCTACATACAACAGAGCAGTGTTGTGTAAAGTGAAATTAAAGTGGTGTCCTGTTGAGGCTCCGTTCAAGTAATGGTAGAAATCTGCTTTTGGAAATGATGTCTGCCTGCCATCTGAGAGCTGTATAAACGCCGCTCATTCTGTATGCAACAATAAAAACCTGAGCTTGAGAGTAAAATGACGAGTGCCAGCTGAAGGGACCACGAGCTTAAATGACTCATAGAAAATCCCTCTGGTAGTCGTGCAGAGAACGTTCTAAAAAGAGATGGCGACACTGAGCGCTGTTTATGGCAAGAATGTCGTGTGTCACCTTAACACAAATAACTACTTCAGTCAAAGGCTGTAAGAGGAGGCCAGCCGGCTGGCTGTGGCAGCGCAGGACACGTGGCAGGGTAGGCTGGACGTCTGTATTATTATTTGATGTTCTGATAACAAATCATTTCCCTTCCCTGTGATGCATATAGCAATAGAGGCAATAGAGAAATTTGAGTCGTACAATTCGAAATATTTAATCGAATTTAATCTTTTTGTTAGGTTATTTATCATAACCAAGTAATCTAAAGTTGATTAACTGCATATATTCATATGTGAATTTGTGGAATGTGGCTATTTGCAAGCTGAAAAAATGTGCAAACTGTGATTTGGGTACGATTCCTGTAAACACTTAAGCTACCTACATTCTCCAGCTTTATTGCATATTTTAATATGCAGTTCACTTTTTATGTACTAAGTTTAATGCTTGTTTTGGATTCATTTTTTAAAGACTTGTTTTTTTCTTATAAACACTTGAGGAAAATTATGTGTAGTAGTCATTTCATGATTGTGGTTGACGAATTGCGTTTTGGGACTGCTGCGTCTGAATAAGCCTTGTTCTAAGCTTAAATCTGGTAAGTGAAATTAAAGTGCTTTTCCAAGGCATATAACATAAGCTCATCATTTCTGGATATTAGAGGTTTGTGTAAGTGACATTTATTAGAGTGTAGTGGGGGAGTTCCTTAATCAGATATCTTCATATTGATGCTAATGAGCATTAGCGGGCTACATTGGGCACTCTGTACTTGCTCACTTAGCTCTGTGCTGACTTTATGACTCAGCTCCCACTGGCGAATTGTAATAAACGACACTACCAGCCAGAATCATTTAGCGTAAACACTTCTTTATTGCCCCATGGTCCTGACAAAGATAAGCGGTTAGAAATACATGGACTTCATTACACAATTTACTGAGCCTTATATCATTTTACAGATTGCAGCTTTTTTTCTGATACTGTTGATCTGCTTCCATTGAAGTGGGCATTGTTTAAACAGCCTGCCATTTGCGTATAGTAATTACAAGCATTTTGCATTGTTAGTGATATTGTACACACTTCCAGTACTCTTGGCTTTGAGGTACTAGTTTAGCAGCTCATACAAAAACATTATCGTAATTATTTCTAAAATACAGTAAAAACTGTAAAATCCCCCCCCCCAAAGTTATATAGAGAAGCACTTTTAATAATGCATGAACATTGATGATGTCTTCTGAGGCTACTCACAAAGCAGTAGGATACATGCTCAATTTGTTGGCCTTTTTCGAACCATTCAATGGGGGCCAGTACTAAAAAGTGACTGGTGCTACATGTCAGGTTTCGTCTGTTATCTGGCTGTTCTGCATCATTGTTTTCCTTTACTTAGCTGATGTCTTTATCCAGGATATCTCTCGCTTTCAGCAGACAGAAAATGGGAGTCTAATCACAGGCAATTTAACCAATGCAGATAATAAACATGATATTACAGTCCACCGCAATAATATAAAGGACCAAAAGACTGCCCTGATTAATAAACCAGGTTGTTTTCGATCTTCTTGTGGATTTCTGTCATCGTTGCTGGTCACAAGCCAGATGTATAATTCAGATGAGCCTGAGTGCACCATCAGTGTGATAGCTGGCTCCCTGTGACTTTTACGGCAATTTGAGAGTGCTTTGTTGTTGCTATTATGTCCTGGTTTTGGCCGCTTTATCGGCATCTTTGGGGCAGGCCTGTCGTAATGACTTATGAGTGTTTTGTTTACCAGGCAGCCCGCTTACAGTAAATGAGCTGCAATACGTGACTCCTGGTGTTACTATGCCCCACACACGTCCTTCGCTGCTTGTCCTTTCCTTCCGTTAAATGGCTACGACATGAAGATGGGGGAAGGCTGTCGATGAGAAGCAGTGGAAATGCAGACCTTTATGAATCCACCTTAACCTATTGTCATTTATGGTTGACACATTTCGCAGTCTCTTTTGTCCAAAGCGACGTTCAAGTGACGCAGATAGCACATTGCATGCAGGCTGCGAAGGAGTCCTCTGGGCATAAGGAGTCCTCTGGGCATAAGGAGTCCTCTGCAGCTAGGCTGAGCTTCCAGGGAAAGCCCAGGTACAAGCGTAAGCAGGAATGGAGTAGGAGATACAGAATAACTTCTAACAAAGCAAGAACCTAATAAACATAAGAATATTTATGGAAGGTAAAGAGTCATCAGGCTGGAGAGTGTACTCTTCTACTAGTATACTCTCAAGGCTAGTATAGCCTCAAGGTTAGTATGTTTTCAAGGCTAGTATAGCCTCAAGGATAGTATACTCTCAAGGCTAGTATAGCCTCAAGTAAATGAATGTAAGGCCACAAGCCTTATACCCACTGCATTCTTGGGGTCCTACTTATTTTAGCTACTGTCCATGTGAATCCCTGGGGGGAGGTAATGACACGACTGCAACCGAAGTTAACTTTCCTCCCTCAATCTTAAAAACGTGATTAGCTTGCTGGTCAAAGTGCCTTCTGGGCGCTGGACAGCTGTGGGTCAGCGGATAAGCCGACCTTGTTTTCTGAACGTGAGGGGATGGCTCTTCCTGTCCTGTTATCTGCGTATCCAAAGGAGAGGAGTTTGACTCTTGCGGCAGATAGTCTGTTTTTGTGAGCACTGGCACGTTTGTCCCTTGCATGACTGCTGAGCCCGTCACCACGGGCAACAAAGGATAGTAACACAGCTGTGTTCTCAAGACATTTTACCCAATAAAACTTTGCAAGAAGCCGCTGTGAGCTTGCCCTGAGGAAGCTTTATTTATTATAAAGCTGTCTCTGCATTCCTCGTAGAGGTTAAGAGCTCAGACCGTGTGTGTGCCTTAACATCGCCATTGCATATTTCAAAAGCCTCACAGTTGCCAGGGCAGTGTGCAGTTTTGGTGCCGGCCTCTGATCTGAGAAGCGCAGTAACGTGAAAGCGTGCGTGTGAACAACAGTGTGATACTTCCTGCCAAGGACTGTCATCACAGCGCAATCTGGTCCTGCTTCTCAGGTGTTGCAAGCATAATGCCAATGGCATGTGGCCCAACTCATTGTGAGCCCCAAGCATTGTGTAGGGGAGTTATGAATGAAGAAGCCTTGAGCTTCAGTTGTTCGTCTATTGAGAGCTGAATGAGTGGCGAAAGCAGAGCATTCCACCATCACCACTCAGGCCTGTGCTGGCACCATTTCACTGCCCTAGCTGAAAGGCGATGTTTCTGTATCTGTGATCAACATGCTATAATTAGCAATTAGTAACGCTGAAGAGAACGTAACTCTGGGCCTCCCTTATCAGCACAGGGCACATTGAAATGAAACTGGGAAACGTGGGTGTGTAGCGTGCATTAGTGCATCGGAATTGCATGTTGTTTTTGACGTTAGCCGCTTGAAACAAAATATGTCTCGCGCTTGCTTGGATTATGTATTCTACAATATGTAATATGATTCAGTCTATTGTTCAGTCATGAAAGTAAACAGGATTATGCTGGTTTTAAGACCTTTTTTGTTCTTTTATTGAATTCAACTCCAGGCCAATTTTCAAGTGAGACATTTGTACATGATGTGTTGCATAGAAGTACAAATTCTCTGTGCAGTTTGCTTAACACCCAGTCTCATTGCATGAGGTCTTAGGTTGTTTTTTATGGGGGAATTTCATCCCAGTTAAGTTTTCAGAACCAGTTCTGCATTAGATTTGATTTCACATTGTGCCTTTTTATCCCATGGATTCTTCAGAGGCAGGCTATTTGCCAGTATCCTAGCTTGATTTTTTTTCCCCTTGCCCACTACTGGTCACATGACACTGTAAGAGAGCCAACTTTAATGCAGTCAGGACTGAGGGCAGTTCATTTGTACTTTGGTGGACTCAATCCTTCTTGCCCTGTGGTAGAACAGTGATGGCTGTGTTCATTCACTGTAGAACTGCTGATCACAATTAGCAGATACAGTGTCTGAACGTCAAACTGTGGACTGTGCCTGTCTGACAGGTCGTGTTCCACAAAGACGCCTTTGCTAGCCGACCTGCTCTGCTGGCCTTCTGTTTGTTTATTGGAAAACGTAATCACCTAGATTTTTGGCAGAAAAGGAATTGTTCATTACTTAATTCCTTTACTGTGCATTAATGAAATTAGGAGAACTCAAACAATGCAACAGGATCCAGGAATTAAGAGAGGATGAAACATGTTACACGTTTGTGATCAAGTGTAATTTTTCCTTCACAGAATTATGTGAATTGTTTATCTGACTGAATGAATTCCAGAGAACTGCAAATGAATGCTTTACTCTGGGTGCTGGATTTGCATTCACTCAGATTATGATCTGGTGCTGTGAAAAAGTCCTAAAATTAATACCAGTGCTGCTGTACTGAAATTATTTTCGGCATGACAGACACATCTGGCAATACTGGTGGAGATTTTGTGCTGCTGCTTTATGGTGAGGTGCCAGCATATGTTTCCACTGATAGACTGTGGCTTAGCTATAATAGACGATCGGCCTTGGTGTTCCCCTTTGGACAGCAGGCTGCTTCATGTATGCAGAAGGCCTTTGGGACAGTATAGCTGTCTCACTTCTTGTCCTGTTCGTTCTAAGAGTGAGTTTGGCTTCCTAAGAGGCTGGTAGGAGCTTCATCTGAATCCGGGCTGAGAAGCGCTTTATAGCTTTTTCGTTTTTCAGGTCATTGTCGTTGGCTCTCTGTACCTTTTCACTGTCACGTTTTCAGCAAGAGCTATGGAATCAGGTAAACTTACAGCTTATGCTGCCAGTCCTGTGGAAGCCAACTTCCTCAGCCTTGCCTTAAATGTGCCTTCTGAGAAACGGGGGAAGTGCTTCACTAGCGTCATGCTAATGTTGACTTGTGCATTTGACATTTATTTGAGCTATTATTATAAGCCTGAAGAAAAGTGTGACCAAAATGCTTGCTTTTCTCTTGGTCGCATTATGCAGACATGTTTAAAACATAAATATGCCAGCACGTGTTATAACAAGACCCGTATATTCCTACTTGTTCTTTTATTTCTTATTTTTACCGCATTTTGTAAGTAAATGGGTCCTTTGTACTTCCCGTGAATGTTCCACAGGAGTTACGTCACGTCCTCGTGTGCCAGTTTCCACACTAGATCGCTTCTCTTGCTAGCAGTCAGATGTTATTTTCTGTAATCCTGCACTCCCCATTTACTGAATTTGGTTTTTCTGTTGTTTATTTTCTCATGCATGAAACAAATCCTGATCACATTTTGCATGTAATATTTTGAGCTTTTGTTCTTCTTTACCTACCTGGTTGATGCTGGTCCCACAACCCACCCTCCCCACAACCATTATCTCTAAACAGTGACCCAGATCCTGGGACTGCGCGTCTTTGTCATGCATCGCTTGGCATCGCCACCTTTCCTTCGTTAGCGTAACACTTACAGCCACAGGGAGAAGCAAACGCCTACTTAAGTGATGTTCTCTGTCATGTCATTTGCAAGATATCCCAATATAAAAGTTAAATAATTCTGCTAATATAATCCATCCATACATTTCCATAACCACTTTTTCCAGTTGAGATATTTGGTATTAATTACAGGCATAATTAATGTCAAAAATAAAAATGTCAACCATGCATCACTGCATACGCTACCAGCTACCTAACCTTAACCAAATATACAGCAAAATAATTCATGCAACACAGTATAGTTATTGAAAGGCAGCCTAAAGACAAACCAGGACGTCTTTGCCTTCCTTTCTGCCCTGTAAGACTCTGCCTGACAAGGTGTTTTGTGCATGAATTTATAAAGTGTGATTGCCTGGACAGTGTGAAGGCAGCTAACCAGCTTCTCATCCAAAGCTACATCACAAGAGGAAAACATGGAAACTCCACACACAGGGTGTCGGGTTCAAATTAGAACCACAACCCCGGAGATCTGAGACAGGTGTTAGGCACCAAGCACAACATTGCCTGAGCGGCGTGAGCGCAGTTCCTCAACGGAAGTTTACAGACGCAAGACCTTGCTTCTGCCACTCATTAAAATGACATCTTCTGTCATCTCTGTTTTTTTCCCTCGTGTTTTTTACTTTTTTGTGTCTGTAATTTTTTCTCTTTCTTTCTCTTTCTTGTTTGCAGGGAATTAAGCCAGACAGCTTCTTCAAAGTACAAGTCCCTGAGCTCAAAGAAATTATTGAGGGATGCATTCGCATGAACAAAGATGAAAGGTAACTGTGAAGCACATTCGACTGTCTAACTGATGATTAAGTAAATACACTATGTTTTATTTGTGCACTGGTAAACGTAATGTTCCTGTTATAAATAAATAGGCATTGAACAATGGGTTTACCAGTTTACAGTTATTTCTTGCTAAGATTAGGCCATATATACTGTGTATACTATACTATATTTACTATGTGTATTATATTATAAATAATATGCACTGTATCAGCTGTGACTATGGCCCACTGATAAATGTTTGTCATGTGTGCGGTTGTGGGGAAATTAGGTTTGCAATGGTGTCCCACTCTGTTTGGAGAGGAAACAAGACTGCATTATCATTTAGTGCTGATATTAATGCAGCATTATTATTCAAGGCATAGTCACTAGCAAGTAAGTCCTAGGTAACTGTCAGAAGATTGGGTCGAAAGAAAATGCTGCAATTAATTTTAAAATTCACTTTGTTTGAGAAATTATGTAGTGGCTCTGAATAATTGACTGCATTCCTGAGTTAAAATCCGTAACTTACACCTCAAACAACGTGTCAGCAAAATGCCTATATGTGGGTACAGTATCTTTTCATTTGACAAGCGTAGAGTAAGAACATAATTACATTAACCTGGTGTTTTCAGGCATGCTTCCATCATGGACACTTGTATAAAATTTTCAGTGGCCTTCTCTGTGTTTGTCGCACAGGTACACCATCCAGGACCTTCTGGAGCACACCTTCTTCCAGGAGGACAATGGTGTCCATGTAGAGCTGGCCGAGGAGGATGACATGGTTAAGTCAGGTCTCAAGTTATGGCTGCGTATGGATGACACTAAGAAGCTGCATGGCAAGTACAAGGACAACAATGCCATTGAGTTCCTTTTCGAGCTCTACAAGGACGTGCCGGAGGAGGTGGCACAAGAAATGGTAGGCATCACCCTCTCAACGCAATGGGTTTAGGTCCCAATCTGAACTACCATTGGTCCTTCTTGTTATAGGCTGCCATTTTAACCAATTAGTTTGTTTGTTATTAAATTACAACAGTTTCGAACACAGCCAATTTTCTCTGGCTGTGTTCGAAATGTACTTTTGCCCACTGTATAGTCCACTATATAATGAATTGGCCATTTTTTAGTGTTGCTTAAATTCTCAAATGTAAATTTCATCCACTAAATAGTGCACTACAAATCAGCATGAGGCACACAAAAATGTAGTGCACAGAAGCCGTACCCTACATCTGTCGACTTAGACCATCATGCATTGCGGCCTGTCATGTGAGTGTCGGAACCATGTTATAGAGACTTTGCTCAGGCTGAACTGTAACTGTTAAGTGTTGTCAATAAGCTGGCTTATGGGATACGTGGATGTCAGCTGTAACAACAGCACCAGGGCTACTGCAGCTAAAAACAAAAGGTTATTTTACAGCATTTGATTGCTTTACATGGGTTACATTAATACACAGTTTATACAGAGTATTGAAGATTAGTTTAAAATACCATAGTTACAGCTGCAGTCCCATCATGCCTGCGTAGGTATATACAGTACAGTCAAATTTGTTATAAAAAAAGTTAAGTGTAAAGTTTTTTTAATTACAGTAATGAACAAGTCCTAACATTAACACAAAATATGAAAAAAAGTCAATTTTTCAACATTATGGTTTATCTATGGATGGGATGTTCTGGTGTTTGTTTATGCGACAAATAATTGCAAATATCTGGCACATAATTATGTATCAGCTCAGCATCTGCCTGGTGTCTGAAATGTATCAGCCGCTGTCTGTCCTCATCCCCTAGGGAGTGCTCTATGTAGCCAACACTATATAGTGAGTGAGTGAATGGCTGAGTGAGTGAGTGAAGGAGTGGACATTTCAAACACGACTTTTGGGGGGAAAATCGAAACGAAAGGGAGCTAGCAGACAGATGTCAACATTGTGAAATTTCCTACGCGTGCTGGCCTTCTTGGAGTGTTTACCCCACTGAGAGCCGTTTTATTTTTAACGTGTCCAAAGTCAGGAGAAGGTTTACAGCCGTTACTGTGGTTACACTACTGTTGAAAATAAAATAAAATAAAAAAACGAGCTACAGACAAAATGTGGTTATAGTGCCACACTTTTTGTTGGATGAGAACTACTTTTGTGAGTTACAATGAGGTTGGAATACACTCAGGGCTGCCAAATTGACCGCAGAGGACATCGCATTAAAATAAATGAAAAGACTGAAGCAATAAGGTCCCTAGAGCTTTGCAACGTTTACTGAGCTGGGCGTTCTGCTGTGCGGGTAACTCACTGCACACATCGCTAAATCATTCGCTGTCATATTTATGGGAGTTAAGGAGCCAGCTTTTGGGAAACAATGGTCTTTTAACTAGATTTATTATGGTGTCATTTACGGTTAAAAACAATACACAGATAATGCAAAAGAAAACATAATAACGTAAGAACAATAACAGATACATTATATTGACAAATTAAATTGTTAAAATAAAACTACGGTGGGAAAGAACAGCATTTAAGTATAATTTGCCTGTATGACTATGGTTGTAGTTTCACTGTGACCTGGGGTCAAGGTTATACCTTCTGTGTGCAGCTGGTAGAGGGGAATTTGAGAGCTTAGGAAGCGAAGATCAGCCTCTGCGTTTATATAATGGCACCGAGACTAATTACAGAACAGTACTCATGCCCTTCAGTTTAATTCAAGGCCACTTTTAATGAGAATTCCACAATGATTCTCTTTATACTTCCCCTTTTTTCCTTAAGAAGAACATATTTAATACCTGGCTGTTTTTATTTGTGACCTGAAAGTGAGAATGGATCTGGAGGCAGGCAGACAGACACACTGACAGCTGTTATCTGTCCATCTCATAGTTATTCTGAAAAGTAAATGAATAGTGTGAGGAACGTTGTTGATAGCCCTCGCAGTAAGCCACATCTCTGTTTTGTTGATAGCCCTCACAGAAAGCCACACCTCTGTTAGTTTGGGTCATCTTTACTTTGACATGACTGTGGACTCAGATGTCAGTGTCCTGTTTATGAAGTGTGATATGGGTATTTTATTGAGTATTTTATTATCTGGGCATTATCATTTAAATAATTTTTCATGAATTAACCCTGTCATATCTGAGAAGGCATGTTCTCTCCATGGAATGCTTATCACAAAAAACAGGAAGTCCCATGAAAGTGTGGCACCACTTGCACGGCTTTGCCATGGCAACCGTGCACCGGTGACCCAGCGCATGCGTGTGCTGATGCGTGCAGCGTGCCTTTTCTGACACCACACGCGCCCTTCCAGGTGGTGCTGGGTTTCGTGTGCGAGGCCGATTACAAGCCCGTGGCCAAAGCCATCCGTGACCGTGTGACGGCCATCAAGCGCCAGCGTGAGAAGCACCGGCGGCAGACGGAGGAGTTGAGGAAGAAGAAGCAGGAGGAAGTGGAAGAGGAGGAGATCGACCCGGGGCCACCTTCCCCGGTGCTGAACCAGCAGGCCGCGCAGAGATCTGCAGCTCAGACTCCGCCTACCACCACCTCTCCATGCCCCGCCCCTTCCCCAGTGAATGGCTCGGTGGACTCTGGCATCAACGCCAGCTTCACGGCTGAGCCCGATGAACCAGAGGCAGACCAGCACCAGCACTACCACATCCGACATACCAGCTGCTCTTCTGCCACCTGTGAGCCCCCACATGCACCGTGAGACACACTGTCCAGAGCAGCCTTTTGTGGTTCAACAATATCCTGGGGAAATGATACTGCTTTAATGCAGCGATTCCCAATCCGGTCCTTGGGGACCCACAGCCAGTCCACTTTTTTGCTCCCTCCCAGGGGCTGAGTGGGAGCAAAATGTGGACTGACTGGCAGGGAGCTCAGAGGGAACAAAAACATGGACCGGCTGTGGGTCCTAGAGGACCGGATTGGGAATCACTGCTCTAATGAAAGATCATATACTAACTAATGATGCTATACAAAAGGGCTTATTTACTCGTTTGATGGAGCATTTCTGCTGAATGGAAACAGTAGTGATGAACTGAATTATTCATTCATGGCTGTGTCCCAGGCTTTTGCCTGTAACTCAGGGGTGGCCAAACTGCAGGTTTTCACTGCAACTCCCTAATTAGATTACTAATTAGAGGACTGATTGGCTGAAGAGTCCTCACACCTGGGTTTGAACTGCTGACCTACAGGTTATCCCAAAAACCTGCATACACAGCGGTCCTTTGCGGATAAGTTTGGCCGCCCCTGGTCTATCTGTATCTGAGGATGAATAAAATAAAACCATGCAGTGCCAAGGGGCTGTAACTTTATCCGTTGGCCCCAAACTCATCACCCTGAGTTCATGCTGTGTAATATATTTGATTCTGTTTCTCTTCACTCGCTCTGGCTGTTTTGCTGTGGTTTTTCCGGGCTGATGCTAATCCACACCAAAGCACTGGCTGTCCGCTGTCTCCCACCCCCACAACTGTGTGCTAATGGCAGTGTCTCTTGCCACGTTGTCATGGCAGCTGACTGCGAGACGGATGGATACTTAAGCTCATCCGGCCTGCAGGAAACTCCGGAAGGTGTAACCCCAGTGGTCAGCATGCCGTCATCGCCCGCGGCAACGGCCGCCATCGAGATTCCCGGCCATAATCCGATGCCGGCCCTCAGATTCCCCTCGGTGAGTCGATGATGTATGAGGCCAAGCTAAGAGAACATCCAACAGCCCATGTCTAGTTGGTCTTCATGTAAGTTTATGCTAACATAACCCACTGTGCCACTCACGTTGCTAAGCCTCTGTGCTTGTGATCAGAAGGTTGTTGGTCCTCTTCATTATAAATGATTAAGCAAAAGTGACGTTTTTATGGGGCCCTTGAGCAAGGCCCTTTACTACCCATAGTGCTCCAGGAGTAGCAGAGAAGTGATCTGACCTTGCACTCGGACCCCAAGCATTGCTCTCAACTGCGTGTGTGTCTCAAAGAAGAGCTAGATGGGACAAGAGAAGCATTCTAATGTGCCTGTGCAAATGGCTTTTTGGTTTTATGCCATATGGAAAGAAATGAAAGTTACTCACAAATAATGGCAAACACATTTAGTTTCCCAATACCGTGATCAGTACTTCTGAGAGCTTTGTGCTGAGGTGATGATGCTCCATCAGGCCCGTTTCATTGGTGTCCTCCTCTTTGCAGAGCATCGCCGTGTCCCCTAACAGTGGCCAGTCCGGTCCTGCCAGCGGCTTCTCCTCTCCTGTTGACAGGTGATCATTCAGCATTTAATTATTTCCGTGCAACACAGCACTACAGTGTCAATATCCAGCCCCATTATCCGCCTTCATGTGATATCTGCAACATCGTATTACAGTATATGTTTTCACTTAATTATGTCAGTTGACCTTATAGGTTTAATTCCTAAGGAATTATATAAATTCTCTGCTTGGGGGCAACCATCTGTCCCACCACTCCAAAACGAGATTTCTGTCTTTGCTAGAGCTCAAACCATTAAATTCAGGAAGATGATTCCCATTCCTTTATTTGGAATCCCTCTTAATGCTTAATGGAATTTCATCAGCCAGATTTTCCCTGGGGAGAGTGCAGCTTAAGATCCAGTAATCAGGTTGCTTTCTCTCAAGCAGGGCCCATGTAAATACCCAAGGGGCCCTGGGACATGAGCTGGTGGGGGAGCACAATGCAGGCCACAGCTATTAAAGAGCAATGGCAGGACTGCATACAAAACAACAGCCCTGTACACAACTAGCATGGCGCTGGGGTTTTAGAGGGGAAGGAAAAGAACTGACTGTGATATAAAGGGACAGCTGACTAGTTTATGATCAGTGTTTTAATGATGGATAACAGAACATGATTTATGGCTCTTTGAAGTACGTTTGCGTTTTAATAGTTTGTGTTCGTTACACAAACTGATCGTATGTACTTACTGATAGCTGACGGCCTGACAATGCCCCATCCAAGTGTTTTATAGCCTGTAAAGGATAACTAAAGTTAGATTATAAATGAAAGATTTATAGATTTATTTATATCTCAGGATGCTACATATATAGAGCATTCCATAATATAGACTCTGCAGAACGAAATTCAAATCAATATATCAGTATGATTTAAAATGATGTCAAATATTTAGCTGATGTAGTCCTCAGCAAATGTCTAAACTACAGTAGTGATGACTGCTGTAATCAAGTGACAGGGATGCCAGTAAAATCCTCCAGTTAAGAGCCAGCCCACTTACAGTTCCTCTAAAATAAAACTTTCTAAAAATTTCTGTGCTGGTTGTCACTTGATTTTATTCTAAGAGGCTGTGACTCCTGCTGATACCCAAAAGACCTGAATACCATTTTAAAGTATTTTATTTAAAAATATGTATAATTATTTTTGAAATCTATAAAACGATAAGCCTGCGATGGCCTGGCGTGCTTTTGCCCTGTGCATTCTGGGATTGGCTCCAGGCGCTTCTCCCTACCCTGACCAGGATAAGGGGTTAAAAGATGGCTAGATACATAAATACATAAAATTCCTTCATGAATACAACATGCAGCTTACAGTAAATACTGAAACAAAAGCAAGTATGATGGCATGATGGAACACCAATGGAGTATTATGTTACTTTTAAATTTAATTGATTATCTGAAGCTTTTATCAGGGTATTCACTTTAAATGCTCTGCTCACGGGCCCTTCCTGGGATTTCTCCAAATTCACATTTCATTTTATTTTGTTTGCCTATTGATTTAGCCTCAAACCATTCCTTCCATGATAGGCTGCAGACCCCCGCTACACCGTATAGGCCAAGCGGGTATAGAAAATGGATGGATGGACTATTTTAAGATTTGTTAATTTTATTGACTTACCACATGGAAGCAGAAGCATACAGCATAATATCAGAGATAAAGTAATGGTTGTAATGAAGCGGGAAGGTGCGGTCGCGGAGGGTGCCGTGTGAGCCGTTAGCCGTGCTGGGGACTGGCGGGTGGGTGAAGGTGTACTGGTTAAGGCTAGGCTAATCGTAGCCATTATAACTCCCTGCAGCTACGCCTCCGACGTAACATCAGGCCTGAGCGATGGGTACGAGGGCCTGTCTGAGAAGAGCGCCAAGTCCCCCGTCAAGCGCAGCTCTGGGAAGCTGTTCCGGAGGAGGGCGCGCTCCCGCCTGCGCATTACGGGGGTACGCGCTCGCCGCTCGGAAGAGCGTTCCTCCAGTTTGTCTGCTCATCAGACGTCTCGTTCTTCTCCTGACTGATGATTTGTATTACTTGAATTTTGCAACTTTCGCACATCGCCTACTCCGGATATGTATTTAATCACCTCCTCCTTGTTAGCAACTCACCACCTCTGTGTTAGTAACTCACCACCTCTGTGTTAGTAACTCACCACCTCTGTGTTAGTAACTCACCGACTCCTTGTTAGTGATTCGCTTCCTCAATGTTAGTAACTCACCTCCTCCTGGTCTATAGTGGTGTCTCCTACACGGTTGTGTTGCTTTTCGTCCCTGGCGCTTCATGACTGGTTGCTACAGTAACTCTCGATGCAGTCAAACACAGACGTATGGAAATGAAATGATGCGTTGCGTTCCAGGCACCGGCTCAAAATAAATTTGGGTCACTGTGCTAGGAACACGCCAGCTAGAATTATACAAACAACATCCCTCCCATTCAGGACGGCTGCTGGAGACGGGCAGACAGCCTCCTGTAAACTGTTCTACTTCGTTTACACACTGACTGCAAACAGTGCTGTCTGCACCCGCAGCTCTCCGACAAGGTGGACAGAGTGGTGGAGTGTCAGCTTCAGACGCACAACAACAAGATGGTGACCTTTAAGTTTGACCTGGACGGGGACAATCCAGAGGACATCGCAGCGGTCATGGTGAGACACGCCCCCACCACCCACCCAGGGGGCGGAGCTAAGGGGAGGCCAAGGGTGGCAACTTTTACCCCACATGCTGCTTAGCAGATTATTAACGTTACATTTTTTAAATTCTCTCTTGCCGCCCTTTCAACTATGGAGCCCCACAAACCACAAACCCACCCCTGGCCACCAACATAGACCAATCGGGCCCCCGATGGCCACCCCAGTCAGCATTTTCTGCAGATGCCACTACCCCCACCAAAAAGACTCTGGATCGGATTTTAGCTGCCAAGAATATTAGAGAACATAAATGCTAATACGTAACTCTATTAATGTGTATATATGTACATGACATACACTGCTTACTAACATTTCCACATACTGCTGGGGAGGGGGGGTCTGTACTGATTAACCCAGAAATGGCACCTAATCCTAATGTCACATGCTGCTGTCTCACAGTTCAGTATAAGCATTTTGTCCTCGTCTTGTTGTAGCAACTAGCTAATCCTTCACTGTAGATGGAAGAGGAATCAGGGATCATAAATACTATTTAATCCTGGGATTTTTACGTGCGGTAAGCGTGCGGCTCCCTCTGCGCTGCGCAGCATGCGGCCTGAGAGCAGCAGCGGCATGCGGGAGGCGCAGCCTTGGCGACGGCGCGCCCCACCCTCCCTCCTCGACGTGTGATTGGGCCAGAGCGGCTCCCGCTGCCCCGCCGCGTGTCACAGTCAGCCGTTGTTTATCCTGAGGCTGCTTGGCAGAGTGGCACGAGGCCTCGTAAGCGGCTGCCTTTATTAGCCAGGGATATGAACTGAATTAAAACATGCTGACAGGAGCCATTAACCACGCCTAGCCACTCGCGGCACATGGGCGCAGAGCCCAGCCGGGACTCGCTCCGCACACGTGCCGGCGTCCGTGGGTGGTGTCAGCGCCAGGGTTCGCATAACGCGACTCGTCTCCATGCTGTCTGCAGGTACTCAAGGAGTTCATCCTCCCCTCAGAGAAGGAGGGCTTCATCCACCGCATGCGTGACATCATCAAGCGGGCGGAGTCGTTGATGGCCAAGGAGCCCGCGGAGGCCACAGGGGGGCCTCGGCCACCCTGTCTTGGGGGGGCCAGCTCGCTATTTGCGTCACAGGTCGGTGCCAAACCTTCCATGCATGGACACTCCCTCAAGGGCATCTTGGTGCGTTCAGGGATGCATGATACAACTCAGCCCTTTGCTCAACTCTCACGTTTTGACAGAACATGGCACAAGCCCTTTCTATCACTACATAAAACACTTGGCTAGAGAACACGTCCATATTGTTTATGTAATTATTTGCCGCTGGCCTGTACTTCATTATTTCAGGGAGGATTTGTCTTCCTCCAGTGTAATTGGGTAGATAAGTTGGGCCATGTGTGCCTTCCTGCGCGGCAGTGAGGTAATGGGTGTGTCCTTATTCTCGTACTTCCTACGGCACCCGTTGCCTTCAGCTCTTGAAAAGATTACACAAGCTCTCTGTCACATGGCGTAACACAATGCCAGCTTCAAGTTAGATGTTAATCATGTAAAGGTATAAACCATGTTTATCTGAACCCCGTGCTTTCAGGCTAGAAGGACATTCATTTGAAGAGTTCATTTTTTTCCACAGTAGATTACTTTGGTCATATTTGGAGTTTATATTCACGTACATGTTTAAGGTTAAGATAAATGAAGTTTTATAGCAACACTTGGATAGAGGGGATAGCTGCTCAAAGTGACTGCAAATGCAAGAATGGAAGAGGTATTGAAAAGTGACTTTCTATGTGGAATAGTTCTTTCCGGTATCTGTTTAGCGTAGCAGTTTCCTCTTGCCTTAACTTCGCGTACATTAGCCACAGTGTGCCTGGACCATCTGACTGGCCAGTAAGGCTCAGGAATCGTTTCCACCACGCCGCCATGTCTGTCATCTGTATTACAGAGATCACAGTTTTCCTTTGCTCTTTGGTAGAGGGCTTAGCTGTTGATGAGTACCAGAGTGCAGAACAATGAGTGGCTTCATGCAGGACGGTAAAGCCATATCCTGACTCCAGAAGCGCTTCCCAGTCACTCCTGGCCGTAGGGGACATCTCTTTCCTGGCACCCTCCCAGGACCTGATTGAAACCAGGCTCTCCAGCACATCCTGGAGACCCCCCCGGCCTCCCGGGTGCCTGAACGGCCTGTCCTGGCCAGCTTGCCGCTGTAGACTAGCCGTATTCTTCAGTGCATTGTGGGTAGGATTGAGAGATAGGCAAGCAGGTGAAGAAGATGCTCCAGATCTGTGGATCACATATCTTTTTAAACAGTGTTTTTGAATGACTTCAGGACATGTTTGGTGTTGTCTCTGCTGGTTGATTCACCATCATAGAAACCTTGAAGCTGCTGAATTTGGTTTCAAGTACCCTCAAGATCAGACATCTCTGTCCAGTTCTGGGTCTTTGTGAGAAGATTAAGCAATCATAAGCATAACATAGTTGGATGTATGTGATCCCTGATTTTGTGATCCCTGGGGATCTGTTTATCATTTTATTTGTGTTTTGTGAAGCAATAACATGCACCAGCAATGCCTAATATCTCTCTTCATTGGGAAAATCATGCTCTGTCAAGAGTAAAGAAACTAAAATCTAAAAAAGGAATTCAAATTGAATAGTTTGTTAGAAGATATAAAATTTTTACTAATTATAGAGTATGTCATCACATTAATTAAATCTGGAGTTATCTCTAATTTTTATTTTTGTTTTATCTTCCAGCCGAATTTGCACGCGCACAGCCTGGCTCGAACCAGCTCGTCCTCATCGTTGCCTGGTAGGACTCTTGTTAGCACATTAAAACCAAGACAAAGCCTCCTGTCTGAGCCGCAGTCGGTACAGCCAGCTTGACTGTGTGTCTTACAGGCTGGTGCTGGCAGCTTCTGTCTGTGGTTTTGTTACATTTGCATTTTACGGCACAGTATGTTTACCGAGCCGGTACACCGAGCTCAGGAGCCTGAGCCGCCATAGGCTATCCAAACATGCTGCGTGATGCCCGTGTCGGTAGCCTGTCCCGGTGCCCGACTGATGCCAGGGCTGTGTGTGCGTGTCCCAGCAGACTTCAACATGTCCAGCCCCAGCCACGTGAGCCGAGGCTTGGTGTCGGCTTCGGACTCCGTCTTCGATCCAGACGTTACCTCACCGGGACGCCATATCTCGCGCTCGCGCTCCTTTAACAACGCTCCAGGTAGGGCATGCCCCCCCCCCCCCACCCCCGTGCGTCTCGCGTGTTGACACCTCTGAGTGATGACTCTCCCTAGCGACTGACCAAGGTGAAGGACCCAACGCTGTTCCCGTCTGACGCTAGTTCTCAGGGATGTTGTCCCTAGTGGCCGGTGCAGCGCCGGCCACTTTAATAGCACCTCAAAGCCGGGGTCTGTATTGGCCCCGCTGCAGGGCCTCTTGGGTAATTACCTCACCTGAAGGGTGCTTTTCAACCTTGAATGGTATCACTGTTGAGTGTGAGCCATGTATGAACTGCTTCCACTCTGTGTGCAGCATTTGCCAGCTGTCAGGCCCACCTTATTCCAGCAGAACAGAGAGGGAAGCAGGGAGGACACCGGCGCCGGCCGCTCAACAGCCCTCTTCACTGAGGCCCGTTATTTGTGCAGAACAGTGTACATTTTGTGAGGATCCCGGTGTGCTCAGCACTCATCTGTGCGTGACGTTTGCACAGCGCCTGGCAGAGGGAGCGTTACTGTCTGAGGCAGCAGAGCTGCCAATCTGATCCACCGGTTGGAGGGGTGTCATTGAAATGCAGTTGGTGAAACAAGCATGTGACTGATAAATAGCCTATAGCCTAAGGTGCTGCAAAAAAAGGGTTTAATTCTTGTTTTGAAATTGTCCTATAACTGGAACCACTTGCACTATCACCGTTCATTGTGTGTTCTTGGCTGAGGCTTGGTTTGCCACTATTGGTTAGTCATGTAATGACATCATACATAATTTTCTGCTTTTATAAACCGCAGTAATGTTACAGAAGACAAAAAGTCACTGTTTGCCATGGAAACCAGCTTGTATTCAGTTTTAGGGATTTTAGTCTTAATAATCTCATGGCACTGGCAGCGGGGCACTCAATGACAGAATGTTGTCACCCATGAAGGCAGGGTGACAGGGACATTATTTCCTTCCTGTGGGTTCTTTGGTGAGTGAAAGCAAAGGTGTCCACAGATGTATGATGATGATGTCAGTGCGTCATTTCTAACGATGGTTCTAGGTATGATTGCATTCTGTGTTACCATCAGTATTTGTAGAGAATTAATTCAGTTGACAGATCCTTTGATGTCAGTTGTACAGATATCCCAGTTTTAATGAATGTGATACCAACTATGATATATTTATATATTTTAAATTAATTAGCTGATCTAGGACAATTTTAATTTCAGCATGTGAAAATCCGTCCTGAGCACTCTTCCGTGTTTAAGATCAAATGGTCTTAGTTTCCTAGGTAACTGACTTGTATAAAAGCTACTCTTTCATGAGCAGCCCGCTCTGCAGTGGAATGCAGTGTCCGGCGTGTGTCAGTGTGAGTGACTCTGCGCTCTCCTCTGTCTCTCAGCCTCTCCGCAGCAGTACCAGCCCCCAAACCTGTGGTATTCCCCTGTCTCCACGCCAGACCTCGGCCTGTCGCACCCTGCCCTGGCACACCTGCAGCAGTACCCCGGGTCTCCCTACGTGACCACGAGCCGCTTCCCCTTCCCGTACCCGGTGACCCCCGGCGCTCCCAAGTCGCCTCTGGCCCACCAGCCTGTCACCCGCACCTCGAGCAGTCCCAGCTTCTCGTCCTCCTCCGTGGGCGGCGATGGCGCCCCCTTGCCCCCGCTGACCCCGCACCCCGGTGTTTGGCAGGCCCAGAACCAGCCCCTCATCTCCCTAGCCAACATGCTTTCCATGGCCATGAGCATGGCACACTTCATGCCACCACCTCCCTACCCTCCTCAGATGCCCCCCCACGTGGCACCCCAGGCCACTTACCCTGCCTTCAGCCCCCACTACCAGACAATGCCTGGGGATTCCTCCTACCACCAGGGGGCAGCGGCAGGTCATCCAGACTATTATCAGAACCTCGAGGCCTACTCTCGCCCACTGGAGGGTGATGTGCCCCTCCAGCCAGGACTCCCCAATGCCTCACATGTGAGCTCAGCCTGGCCTCCCACCCCGACTGAGTCTTTTAATCAGCCAACTCAGCAATCTGGTTCTTCACCCTTTTGCACGCCGCAGCGCGACCCAGCCTTCGGAACGCTGTCTCAGGACCAGCCCGGTCGCTTGGCCTCTTCCTTGTCTTCCTCTTCGTCCTCATCACGCTCAGACAGTCCTCAGAGCACGGTGAGTGGCAGATAGCGATCTCTCACGCCCAGCGGTCTCCCGGTGTTATGGTAACATTCTCAGCTGTGCAAATATTACTCATCTGTTTAGTGTCAGCAGGACGCCGTTGTGTAGCCCGATGCTAAATGGTCCCGCTTTTAGATGGTCCTGTGTGGCACCAGTGGGAACGAAGAAACTAGATGTAGGAATAATATGTAATGCATTATTTTTCCTTCTGAAGGTGTCATCGCCCAGCACAGGGTCGTTGTCTCCGCCACTGAAAAAGCACACCGCTGGGGGTGCCACAGAGGTCCGACACTCCCCCATTTACAATGGTAAGACCCAGTGCTGCTCAGCTCTACTCACTAACTCGCTTCTCTGTGGCTTACAAACACAACCCGCCTGACTGAAACCTTTGTATCCCAAAGCCTTGCGTTTAGATTTCCTGTCCTGTTCTCATATCAGTAGAATGCTTTGCTTAGTGTGTAGTGACTACAGCATTCGGCACTGCTGCTTGTTTTTGTGTAATCCTGTACGAACTCCACACTCAGAAGTCACTCCTCGAAAATAATGTAACTCTATTCAAACAGAACTGTCTGCCATCTAGTGGCAGAATGTAGCACTGCAGATGAGGTGAACTATTACTACTGTAACTGATTCAGTTGTGGTGGTGGTGATAACTACAACAATTAATAATAGTACTAAGGTATTTAATATAGGGTGATGCAGTGGTTAGCACTGTTGCCTCGCCTCTGTGACTAGGGTTCCGGTCTCCGCCCCTGCTCCTTGTAGGCAGAGTTTGCATGTTCTCATGGGGTTACCTTTAGGTTCTCCAATTTCCCCTCACAGTCCAAACACATGTTAAGGTGAACTGACATTGTCAAATTGCCCGTCAATTAATGAGTCTGCCTTGTGACGGATTGGTGACCCATCCTGAGTTATTCCCTGCCTTGTGACGGGTTGGTGACCCATCCTGAGTTATTCCGTGCCTTGTGACGGGTTGGTGACCCATCCCGAGTTATTCCCTGCCTTGCACTCTGGAACCTAGTTGACCCTGTGCTGCTAATAAGCTTTTTATTAAAAATGTTTAGTTGCATCTGTCTTTTTATATATCATTGACCGTCAGGGATATTAAATGATCTTTCTGTTGTTTCAGTGGGCCGTTTCCACGTGACACCCAGTAAGGACCCCCCCATGGCTGGCTCCCCCCCTGTCACTCCTGCCCCGTCCCCCACTGCCGCATGCCACCCCAGGAGCGGCACGGGCAGCAGCACAGAGGAGCAGGCTGTGTCTGAGGCCAGCCTCAGCACCTCGCTCACAGCCACCCCACCGCAGAACACCACAGGGGTGGAGGGGGGAGCGAAAGGTGGCGAGGCGAAAGGGGAGGAGGCGGAGCAGCACACTGAGCACAAGAAGAGCACCCTGGAGCGCTGCCTCAGTTTCCCAGGCACCGCGGTGATCAGCAACCTGTCGGTGACGCCCCAGGAGCCGGATGGGCGGCATTGGGAGGGGGCAGCAGGAACGCAGCACCTCTGGGTGGGTTGCAACCGCAGCTCCTCCTACCTGAGCAGCGATGACACAGAGAGCGAGGACGAGAACATGTGGGAGGAGCTGCAGGAGCTCCGTGAGAAGTGAGGGTCTCGCCTCTTTCTCGTTTGTCTGCTTTCCGTTCACCCTGTTCAGCCACAAGTAGCACAAGCAGAATAATATGCTAAATTATTTCATATATTAGAGGCTACATATTATTTGAAAAAGTTAAATCATTCATTTTTATGTACCAATAAAATAGTCAGATTTTATTCTTTTTTCCCCCCTTCTCACCCCCTTCTCCTCCCCTTTTCTACCCCTTTGGTGCCCCCTTTAGACACCTGTCGGAAGTGCAGGCCCTACAGGCTGCTCAGAAACGGGAGATCGAAGAGTTATACGAGAAGATGGGCAAGATGCCCCCTGCCGGCATTGTCTCTCCAGCCGCCATGCTGTCCAGCCGCCAGAGGCGCCTATCCAAAAGCGGGGCATGCCCACCATCCCGAAGGAACAGCCTACAGAGGCTTGAAATCCTGCCCCCTGCAGGTAACCGAACAACATACCCCTCCCCCATATTCCATGCAAAACAGAAATGAGCCTAGAGGGGGGCAGCACAGGCCTACAGGTTAACAGCCTTACCTTGAAACAACTGACCAATCATAGTGCACCACAAAAACCGACCAATGATAAAGCCATTCGTAGGTGGGATGCGGCTCCTTTGACCACACCCTATGGTCCTTAAGGCCTGCTGGTGAATGACTCCCTCCTGGCCCCTCGCTGCTCACTGGCCATCACTTGAAAGTCTATGGAATAAGAATTGCTAAGCTGTTATGTTCTGCTTCCTGGTTGGTGGAACAATGAAAAAGTCTTGGAAAAGGGAGGAATAGAAGTGAATAGAAGCTAAGGGGACTGCAATGTACATGATGTATCGCCTAAGCTAAGGTCTGGGTTTACAGTCTAGTTCATATATATGCAGCAAATCACGACTTCTAAAAAGCAGCAGTGAACACAGGTGTAGATGTTAATCAGTGATCCCGTGCAAGTGCTCAGAAAGCTTGACAAGAAACCAAACACGAATAATAAATGCTGCCCTTATATAATGCCCTGACGATGTTGCTGATCCCCAAAGGAATCATGAGGAAGAGTTCATTCAGCGGGAGCAGCAGCGGCTCCCAGGACAGGTCGAGCAAAGGCGTGACCTTCGCTACAGACTATACGCGAATGGTGAGCGTCCTGTCCTCTGCAATGGGCAAATCTACCTGCAATGCTGCACATACAGCACATGTACTACCAGGCAGGAAATGCAGCAAAAGCTGTTCGTTAGACATCCAGCCTAATGTCCGCACTGTGTTCCTTCCCAGTGATGAGCCTCTGCAGTGGGACCTTTCAGGACTACCTCAGCTGCAGTGTGGCTCGTTCTTCAAGGATGTAGCGACCCACAGTCTGAAAAGACGAGGGTCGTAGGACTCTGTGGGAATCGCGTCCAACTCGGCAGAGTTCTCTTAAACGTGCTGTGCTTTCTAGTCCGGTCTGCCTGGCTAATGCAGCCTTCGACATGACCAGGCAATTACTATTTGGAGGAGATACTGTAACGGCAATAATTCAGACGCTCCATTATAGCTGGAAATGGCTTGATCTTGCTTACGGGAGAGGGTGTTATCTCAGCCCTCCTTAGAAGAAGTCCGCTTGCCCGTTCCAGGTATAAAGTGGAACGCTCTTTTCCAGACATGATGTGTGAGGCAGCCGGCACGGAGCCTTGTGAGAGACACACTGTACTGCTCTGTGTAACACTGCATCTGCAGTCAGTCCTCTGCTACTCTCTCCCTTATGATTTTGCACTTTAAAGCCACAACAGACCAGATGTAGCCACAGCACCCCCTGGCTGCGGGAGCAGGCACGCGCACTGGGCTGTGCCGTTTCATATGCTTTCTGCTGTAAGAAAAAGTAATATTACTGCTGAGTATGTTTCCGGCCTTTTTCTGCGTCGTGATTCACTCCTTTTGGACAGGTGGACTGTTTCCAAATTTTTGCCTGTCTGTTTTCTCACAATGCACTCGTACACAACACTTTCAGCTCAAATTGTTAATTGTCACTGATAGTGGTCAGACTTTTGATGGCAAACTAAAGCTCTTCATTTATGTCCTGTTTCATCTTTGGCGAAACCTCCAGATCAAGGATAGTGAGAGATTATTACTGGTTTTTAAACTGTTTCATTAATTCTGAAGATGATTGTACGGTATTCCTGAACATAACTGACTGATCTCAGCTAAATCATGGAGTTTGAGAGTTTAGTTGAAATAATGTTAGCAATGACAGAGTACATGGGAAATATAGATTCCAAAATCTGCGTGTTTAACTCTGGGGGGCAAAATACATTTTTGAAGACTGGCTCTTAATACTTGGTATGTTTACCTAAAAAGTCCAATGATGTATCCATAACATCAGCATTTCTCTGAAAGCCCTGTTTGTTCAGGCTGCACCAGGATTCTCATCCCCATTACTACACAGCATGCAGGGTTTCCGGGTCTGTAGGCCACTGAGACAGAAAACTAAACAGGCACAATTAGGTCAGTAATTACTGAAGCTGATCGCCACTTGCTCACATAGATTGAATGGGATACATTCTGCAGAGACCAAGGCTTATGGATGCAGATGGATGGCCACCCTGTCCCCAGAATCATGAAAACTTCAAGTTAAATCCAACCTTAGATTTTCCCAGTTAATCATAAACAATGCGGAAGAAATCTTAAAAACAAACAAAAATAGGAGTAATTCACAGCCCTGCGTAATATTTCCATGTTCATGCAGCAAGAGTAAACATTAAAAAATGCCTCTGAATTGTGGGATGATTTAGTCCAGTGAAAATCAGTGAAAATTAGCTAAGATGACAGACACCTCCACCCTCTAGACTGGGGATGTTCACAGTGTACAGTAACAGACTGGCATTGTGAGCAGCCTCTTCTAAAGACACCAGCCTGCATGTTTTGTTTAGCACTGTATATTTTTTTAAAAAATATATATATATATTGTATTTTAAACTGTGAATTTTAAACTAATGCCTTACATTATGAACATTGAGAAATCATGTACAGGTATTACAGATCAAGTGAATTTTTATTCATTTATTGGTATGAAAAAATAGTCCGGGCCAGAGTTATCAAATACGATCCTGGAAGTAAGCATCTGTTTATTCTCCTTTTCTGGATGCTTCCATTCACAGATTATTACAATTTGTGACTTTTCTTTTTTCTGGACTAGTGCTATAAACTACAGCATTTCTTGAAAAACTCCTTCCTAGGAATTTAGTCTTACACACCATATTCAATATGTTGTGAAATATTTGCCAATAGTGTTGGTAACACAATGTTGTACTGCCATGCTGAATCTGTGCCTTTTGTCTTTCTTTTCCATGTTGTCCCTTAAGTTTAGTATATTTTTCCTTAAATCATTTGTAAAAATGGATTAAAAATATTTTTTCTTAGCCTGTTCTCTTGTCACATTTATTTGAGTCATTTCAGTAAATTCACAACCAGAAGATATTTCAAATGTTTAAAACAAAATGGTGATGTCAAATTCCAGAGTGAGGACAGTTAGGCTTTACTCACCAATCATTTTAGAGAGAGAGTGCTGGTAGTTTCTTGTGGGTTAGTATTCCTTGGGTTTTGAGCCCCATTTTCCTGATCACTTAAAAATTACAGAAACATCCTTTTACAAATACTGAAGTTCAGTTTTGGTTATTGTGCTAAACTTTTGTAGTAATGGTATACTAACTTCACTCATACAGTGGCTAAGGATCAGAAGAATGTAACGATGCATTCTGTAATAAAATGTTACAAATATATAGACTACATTATAATTTTATATTACAACTTTACCCAATTATCATCATTCAATTTGTTACATTATGACAAGTTGTGACATTATTACATAATGTGTTGTCGAATTGTCAAATGCAAGTGACAAAAATAAGGTATCTCCTACCAGACTGATTCTCCATGATGTCAAGTTCAGAAATCTGGAGGGACTTCAAAAAGGAACCAGTGCTCCTTTAGATGGAGAAGGGTTAGCCAAGGTGGTTCAGGATAAGGACATAAGGCTGCGACCTGGATGGCTCTCGAAAGAGCTGCTCTGGGACCATTTATCCCAGTTGCTTTGGGAATGTCAAAGAAAAATGACTGTTTCACATTCTGGCCATGGAACAATATCTGGTCTGACTTGCTGCTACCATTACCCTCATCAGGAAAAGAGGTGTGAAAATGAGTTAGGAGATTATTTTTACCCAATTTATTGAACCTCAAAAAGCAAGAGGAAAAATATTTCTCAGCGCAGTAGTTTAAATAAACACACTGAAGAGCCTCTCAATATCCACACAAAGTACATCAGACCTTCACACTTGATGCATGAAAAATATCATGGAAATCAAAGAAGTATAAGTTTGACTTGAAAGTACATCCCTTGAATTTATGCAATCACAATGTGTCAGACATGTATTTAAATTTGGACAAACAGCACTCTGATGAAATCAGAAAAAGCTATACATGTATAAAGAAATTGTCAATTTAAGGGCACAACACATAACATCCCGTTAAGCAGCATCTCCTGGCCATAGTAACACATGGGAAAGACCCTAGTGGAAACAGGACAATGCTTGGCCGGCCAGCATCAATCTGTACAAGCTGCGCCAGGGGAAACAGTCCACGTGAAGATCCACGTTAGTTGGATGCAGTCTTCTCCCTATTCATCTGGGCAACGCTGGCCTCCTTGTCAATTTCATCCATGATCCTCTCCTGTGACACCGAATAAAACGTGTAGCTATCTGAATTTAGGAGACAGTTAAGGAACCCCTCTTTAAATATTTATACAGTTAATAAATCGGGATTCTTTAAGTTTCTTCGCTACATGCAGCGAGTCGGTGAGGGTGCACTGAAAGGCAATCACACGCTTCAAATCAAGAATATCAAGGTTACATGAGACGATCAATAACTATCTACAATCTAGTGATTGTTTATAACCATTAACTAAAATTCCACAACATTTATTTTACACGGAAACACAGACCGCATTATTATGAACGCCTTGCCTTTTATTTTCATATACGTCACAAAACACGGTGAACCGAATAAGGATACAGATGCCAATCACCATGGCTCCAATTGCTAGGCCAGTTAATATGTTCCGGCCCCGAAGTTTCTGCATGTTCTTCTTCCACTGCTCCATTTCCACCCTCTGGATAAACTGCTTCTGCTCCGGAGTCAAATGTTCTTTCTTGGGATCGATCCTCTTGGCGAAGGCTGCTTCAGACTCCCCTTTAGCCCCCTTGTCGGCCATCTTTACAATGTGAGAGTGCAAAAGGGGCGGAACGGACGATGACAGTGATAAACTTTCAACTTCGACCTGGTCGCCAAGCAACCGTCTTGACGTTATACGCCTGACGTATTAGAGCTTATACGCATGCGCAACAGACCAACGCTACAGAATAACCCGGAAGTCTTTGTATCTATGTATATGTCGTGGTTAACAGCCAATGCACTGAAATTATATTTATAACTTTTACAACACGTAAGAAAAATGTCGATACCTGGTCGTGACGTGTATTTCGTAACGCGTTTTGCAAACAGTCCGCATTAACTTATCGAACACTTCCTCTAGCATTATTTTAAGCACTGCTTCTAAATGAAAATAAACAACCGTAGTTTTCATACATTTCCATCTATATGTAGAAATCACCTTAATATACAGCAGTAGTCACTGAGGCTGTGTCCGAATTCAGAGACTGCATCCTTCGAAGGATGCGGTATACGAAGGTGTAGCGTTTGTAGGCTGCGTTCCTCGAAGGTCAAACAGAAAGCGTTGACAAATGGGACTGTCTGGCCTACGGATAATTTCCTATTTGCATCACCAGGTGTTCCCGCCCTTACCCTTGATTCATGAAGCGCCGCTCCTATTGCCTAGCCGGGACACACCCACTTTACGTCTGCGCAGTGAATCGTGGGATATGTCGGGTGCTCCGTCCTTTCTTGACCGCATTTGAAGGGGGCTGCGAAATGGGGCAGCCTTATTACACCGCTGTGATGCATTCGACCTTCGAACGCAGCCGAAAGGATGCAGCCCCTGAGACAGCCTGTGTGTAGCCATGGCTGAGTACATCTCTGAATATGGTGCCAGCTCTGCGTAAACTGTGACGTAAGAGCTACTGCAGTCCGCCCCATTACAGTTTCGGTAAGGAAAACAGTGCAGTTTCGGTTTTAATGCCATCCGGCATTTAAAATTGTACTGAATGTCAACAAAGAACGTGGCGTCGGTAACGAGAAATAAGTTATCGTATATTTCGTCCTAGCAGCACGTTAAAGTGAAATTTGTATGGATGGCAGATGATTCTGCTAACAAACTGGGCACCTGCTTAAAACTTGCTAAGATATTGCAGTTGCAAATGATAGTAATTTAAAGTTTTTATTACACACACGTACACAAGAATTGTTTTCTTCCTATTGTCACTTAGCGTAGTAAATTGACCAACGGGTTCATTCTACACTCACCTAAAAGATTATTAGGAACACCTGTTCAATTTCTCATTAATGCAATTATCTAATCAACCAATCACATGGCAGTTGCTTCAATGCATTTAGGGGTGTGGTCCTGGTCAAGACAATCTCCTGAACTCCAAACTGAATGTCAGAATGGGAAAGAAAGGTGATTTAAGCAATTTTGAGCGTGGCATGGTTGTTGGTGCCAGACGGGCCGGTCTGAGTATTTCACAATCTGCTCAGTTACTGGGATTTTCACGCACAACCATTTCTAGGGTTTACAAAGAATGGTGTGCAAAGGGAAAAACATCCAGTATGTGGCAGTCCTGTGGGCGAAAATGCCTTTTTGATGCTTGAGGTCAGAGGAGAATGGGCCGACTGATTCAAGCTGATAGAAGAGCAACTTTGACTGAAATAACCACTCGTTACAACCGAGGTATGCAGCAAAGCATTTGTGAAGCCACAACACGCACAACCTTGAGGCGGATGGGCTACAACAGCAGAAGACCCCACCGGGTACCACTCATCTCCACTACAAATAAGAAAAAGAGGCTACAGTTTGCACGAGCTCACCAAAATTGGACAGTTGAAGACTGGAAATATGTTGCTTGGTCTGATGAGTCTCGATTTCTGTTGAGACATTCAAATGGTAGAGTCAGAATTTGGCGTAAACAGAATGAGAACATGGATCCATCATGCCTTGTTACCACTGTGCAGGCTGGTGGTGGTGGTGTAATGGTGTGGGGGATGTTTTCTTGGCACACTTTAGGCCCCTTAGTGCCAATTGGGCATCGTTTAAATGCCACGGCCTACCTGAGCATTGTTTCTGACCATGTCCATCCCTTTATGACCACCATGTACCCATCCTCTGATGGCTACTTCCAGCAGGATAATGCACCATGTCACAAAGCTCGAATCATTTCAAATTGGTTTCTTGAACATGACAATGAGTTCACTGTACTAAAATGGCCCCCATAGTCACCAGATCTCAACCCAATAGAGCATCTTTGGGATGTGGTGGAATGGGAGCTTCGTGCCCTGGATGTGCATCCCACAAATCTCCATCAACTGCAAGATGCTATCCTATCAATATGGGCCAACATTTCTAAAGAATGCTTTCAGCACCTTGTTGAATCAATGCCACGTAGAATTAAGGCAGTTCTGAAGGTGAAAGGGGGTCAAACACCGTATTAGTATGGTGTTCCTAATAATCCTTTAGGTGAGTGTATATTCCAAAACAAGACTACAGTCCTTGAGCCAAATTTGGGATGTGAAAAGCTGTAGTCTACTGATGCTAAAGTTGACAGGATTGCCAACGCTCACGCATGGGTGTGACATTCAGGCTTGTTGACTGCCATGCTCAAGCAAGAAATCTTACGCCAAATCTATATTATTGTATTATAAACCTAAAACTAACTACAACAAAAGCATTGGGGCAGTTTGCAAACCCTCCAGACTACTTACAAGGTACCAAAACACTTGCATACATGTAAATGTTTGTGCAGACTTGTCACGAATTGAAAATTTCACGCCAGCCAGCGACCAAAGTTGGCACCACTGAGCTAGTAATGCAGAGTGCTTTCTTGCAGGCAGAGTGCCCTGCAAAGCCTCTGCACCCCACTGAGCAGAAGCATGCACCTTGCCCTACATCATTGCCTGTGGCAGTCATTGACTAGGCCTTCATAATTCCCCCTCTTCTGCTTGAGGGCTTCCTCATATTTATTTTTTATTTTATTTTGCAGACACAGCTGAGACACATACATCACAAACATTGAGCTGTCAAGGAATCAATTAGGCATAAGTGTAGCTAAACTGATCTTTCAGTGAATGTCTTGAAACAAGTGTATTATTAGAGCAAGAACTATACAATTCATTCAATTGCATTCTGGGAACACAAGAGACCAGCAAAAGGAACATAAAGTAGTTTATGCTAGTAGAGGTGTTCACAGTACTGATGATTCTTGAGGCATTTCTTGAAGGTTGAGAAGGAATCTGATGACCAGTTGTAGTTTGACAGCTTATTCCATCATTGGGGAACCACATATGAGAACACCTTGAGTCTAGATGGAACTTTGATTTGTCTCATTTGTTTAATTTAAATTGATGGCAGAAGCGGCCTGACGACTTTGTCCTTTTGTCTATGACTAGGGTAAAGTTAAGGCTTAGATTTCTATATCAAAGGTTATTGTAAGGAGACATGAATAGTAATAGAATGGAACGACTGTTTCTTATTTAAGTAATAAGACGTTTAATCATGAATGACAGCTGTTCTGTGTTTTTCTTGGTAAATGACTAAGAGTGAACAAAAGTAAATGCTCCTTAATTCCTTCTTATGTCTTCTGTTATTACTTCATCTTCTTCAGTGGTTCTTAAACCATTGCATTCCACTCCAGAAAATATTACGTTCTCTGCCTACCAGCAGCAAAGCTGTCGACTGGGGTAGGAGCAGCAGACGGTCACTTAAAACCACACCCTTTGCCGCGTACCACCGTTATGACTGTCGCTTAATTAAACGCACCGATACCTTCGCATATCACTAGAGGGAGCCCACTTACCATAGTTTGAGATCCACTGATCTCACTAATCACGTGGCCTAGTTAAATTATGATTATCACTGATAGATTTATAATAATTAACGTTTTTCTAAAAATTTTAAGTGCAGCAATTATTTCCCGAATATTGTGAAAATTTAATTTTATATAGTACCAGTCAAAAGTTGGAGCACACCTGCTTTTAATGAATGAAACTTGCTCTGTTACTTTATAGTAAAAGGAAAATCAAGTAACGCCGGCGGGGTGCATGTCCCAGCATGCCCCGCATGCAACTATAAATAGCCCGTGTGTAATTGTATATAACCCTTGTTGTTGGTGTTAATGTTAATGGTTTCATTTCCCTATAGTCGCGCGTGTGTTTGCCCGTGTCTTGCGTGTACCCTGTCCGTTGTTAGCTTGTCCTTAGCCTCTGTAATTCTCCCACCGTGTGTACGATTTACAGGTCGGCGTCTGACCACCTTGTGTTTCCGCTGTGTATTTGGTTCGGTGCTCGTTGGGTGTGTGTTCTAATCCTGTTCAGGACTGTGATTAAAGAGCGTGTTTTCCTCGACAAGCGAGTCTTTTTGTCTTTTTCTCCTCGGTCCGCACGGCGCTATAATATCAAATATTACAACAACCAACAGAAGCAAATATTAGACTCCTCAAAATAGCCCTTGCACTAAATTTATGGATGTAAATATTAATGGATCATCCTCCATAACTTTTACTACGTTACTGTACATCTCATCTAGTATTTACTCTGCTAAATGGTGCACATTTTCACTCTAGCAAATACAGTACTGGCAATGTAGTGTGTAAGCTCTGATTAGACCATTAAACTGTGACAAGCAGAGGATATTATGAAAAAGACACACAAACCAGATTAATCTGAAGTAAGAAAAATAAATTTTCTTTCTCCCCTCCTCCTGGGTGGGGTGGCCAGGATAGAATGATGCCAATAGGTATATAGAAGGGAAAGCAGTATGGGAATGTGAAATGTGATGTAGAAAAGGAACCAAAGAATTGAAACATTTGATATTCATTATAGGGTCATTTTTAATTAAAAAGACAAAACATACATTACAGTTCTTATACAAAGTAAATATTTATTTACAATGATTCCATCCTTGTAACATTAACTAGCCTTTAACTTGCACCGATTTTGACTCTTCAAAACTTCCATAACATTAATGCTAGCAAACTGTACATCTATATTCTGCTCTTCGTTCACAATTAATATATTATTTAAATATTACAAACAAGATTGTGGTCATTAACAGCATAAACACTGCTTTAAAATTTAATTAGGCACAACTGTACAGCCGCCTGTTTACATAAAAAAAAATGATAAAAATGTAATTTACACAATCCTTTCTATACTGTGGTGGAAAATAAAATGAATTCTTTAATGTAGTTACAATATAGATAAAACTACACAAAAACTGTTCAATAGCTTGTACTGAATGTCTGTTTTAGCATGTTCCTAAAAACCTCAGCATTTTAAGAAATGGCGCTTCCTGCATAATGATCTGAAATATCACAGCATCTTCAGCTGGTGGAGACTCACCAGCAAGAAATGGGCTAAAGATGACAGCTGAAAGTATACAACTCATTCAAAAACAAAATCCATGCAGTTAATAGCATATGAACTGACAGTGAGGTAGGGAGGAAGGGACTGCTACCGCTTGATGTAGTTTGTCACAGAAAGTTCTGGCTCAAAACCAAATATATAAAGGTGAAGATAAGATTACAGGACCAAGTGCTGGAATCACAGTGCTGTTGCACAGCGCCTGACCTCCTCAATACAGACCCCCCAGCCTCTGCAGTCTCTAAACAAGCTTCCAATCGTTGTCTTGGCGACCCTTATTAACATCATCAAAGTTGCTGAAGTTGAGGGGAGGAAGGAATTCCGTGTGCTTAAAAGATATTGTTGTACTCGTTCAAGATAAGTTCCACAATCTGGTTCTGGAATACCATGTACATCGTGATGTTGGCAGACTCCGTCTCAGGTTTCAGCAACGTGGGTCCGAAGACGATGGCCACGTTCTGAACTGACATGCGGTTCGCCTCCCCAAAGTCAATAACTCTGAGGAAAAAATGCAGAAGTATCAGAGCACAAGTCACACGTGCTGGTGGGAGAAGCCAACATTAATTATCTTGCAGCTTTATGATGAAATACCAAATTATTGGAAATGTACTGTTCCTTTGCACAACAGTCATTAAGTAACAGCATTGAACTTATCATTACAAAATGCTAATGCAAGTGAAGCAGAAACTGCTTACCTGCGTAAATGACTAAAGAGAAGCTCCATTGTGTCATGGTTGGGTGCAGGGAGAGACTTCACTAGCTTAGACATGTAGGCCACCTTCTCGTTGTAATCAGAAATTTCTGGGAAGGCAGGTAGAAATGGTGTTTAAATTCATAATTATATTACAAACTGCTAGTCGACAGTTTTTGAATCTTTGGTGATTCTTATATTTCATTAGTTTAGGCACATATACCGTGCTGCTTAATTAGGAAACCCTAAGTAATGAACATCACCTATGTAATAATAAATAGTTTAATTCTTGGGCTTCTCAAAAATAGCTAAATTTTATTATTATTACAACTGAACAAATCCCAGACATTTTATTAAAGACTAAAGGTATTTTAATGAAAGTTCACTGCAACAATGCTGGAGAAGTGGCCACATATGTCTGCATTAGCTGACCAGTCTAGTCTTGACCTTTTTTCTGCATTTCATCCCAGATCAGCGGGGTTAAGGTCAGCTGATTCTGCAGGTCACCTGATCAACTTTCCTTCCACTTCCTACTTCATCAAATAGTTCTGACAGGATCTATGCAACGCTAGAAGTTTTACCAAAAATGATAATATGTAGCATGTTGAAGAACAGTTATTCATAGTGTGCTGCCTGTGAAACTAATTCTGCTGAGGGTAATTCAAAAATGTTCTGCAAAATTATTATAGGAAGTGAAGAGTTCCTCTTGGTGCGACCTCTTCCTCTTGGTGGCACTGTGAAGATGGCCAAACTTACTGATGGCTGCGATGAAGTTGTTAAAATGACTGTAAGGGAAGAGCGGCTCAGGCAGCTCTCGGAAGAAGAGCTTCAGAGCGCCAGTGATGACATGAACGTCTTCCCACTGCCCATCCTCCAGGTCCAGTTCGTCTGGGAGGGGAAAAAAACTCAAGTCTTGTAACAACAATAGAGACACCTTTGCATACAGTAAGACACCAAACCATTAACATGCTGCATGCAAGCAACGAGACAATGAAACGTTCCATTGCATCTCTTGGGTGAGACTTTCAAAGAGTCGTGATTGCTGGGGTCCATTTGGCAACAGTTCAGCAACTAAGACAAATGATCCACATGCTACTGCTTTTAAGGCAAAAGTCAATTAGTGAAATCACCCGCAAAAGGCCAGCAGTGAATAGACGCATCATGGTATTTTGGCATTAATTAGGAATCCACAAACTATATGACCTTGTTGTTACACGTGACTTTCTAAATAACAGTTTCACCTCATTAAGCATTTCAAATGCGAAGCTGGGCATTTCAGGGGATTTTTCAAGTAATGTTACCGTGATCTGCCTTGTGTCGCAGCTTCTGAATGACAGCGAGGTTCCCGCTAACTCGATAAATTCCATCAATGTCCAAACCTACATAAGCGAAAATTTAGTGATTATGTAGTCATTTATGAGCCTGCTGGAAATGGTTCTATTTATAAAGGTTTTTTACCCAAAAAATAACTCTAGGTAAGGATAATAATGTTACTTGGTATTACTCTCCAGCATTTTCTTTAACTGAGTAGAAGGGGCACTCATTCTTAACAATTGTACTGTTAGCCATTGTTGTCATAGTTAAAAAAAAAAAAAACAAAGTGCTCATTAACATCTGTTCAGCTATTGTAAAATGAAAGCCAGTGCCACGCACCTCTTTTTTCCACCGCATTGATGCACTTTTCTACAAATCTGGGTATAGTGGTTCTCTCCTGGGCACACAGTGTTACCAAAGGGCATCCAAACACATTATCTTTATAAAAAAAAAGAAAAGAAAAAAAAGGAAAATGAAGCAGGCAACACAGAATGAAGACCTTGATAGATCTTACGGCACAAAAGCGATGCCCAGTGTTATATACACAGGTAATAGACTGATGCTAGTTCAAGGCCATAGTCATGGAGTCAACATTGGCAACGTGGGCCATGGCCGTAATTATAACATATATTATAATGCATATTGGGTGGACATTGTGAGCACATCTGAATATTGGGGGGATGCCCCCCCAAGTATATATTACAATTACAGCCTTGTGCTACTTTTACCTTTGATGTAGCCCTTTTCCTTGACGGACTGCAGCGTGGGTCGTTTCTGCAAGAATTTGAGGAGTTTTGTGCGCACTTTCTTCTGCTCTGGGTCTGTGACCAGAGCACCTGGCTTGTTGGCTGGAGGTGAAGGAACAGAGCGACTAGCACAAAAGGAAAGCCAGGGAGCTGGCAGAAAAGGCTGCAGATGCCGATCCCATCAGGATGGCAACATCATCGCGTTAACCACAGATGCAGTGATGGCAAATATTATCATATAAAAATATATTAACATGATTACTTACTAGACTTTCTCAAGCTATCCCCGTCCTCTTCTTCACAGGAGTGCAGCTCCTTTTTACAAAATTACAGAGCAAAACAGCAAACTGTTAGCCAGCTGAGTGAGGCTACTAATTAAGATTCATTCCATAACCAAAGAAAATGAGTGAAGCTGTTAGAAGGAAGAACAAGTCTAATGTCAAACTTTTGTAACTTACACAATTACACAATAATATTACCAACAAAACTTAGCAGCCAAACAACCAATTCATGTTGCTAACCTATTCAGTTAGCAATTAATCAGTGTTGATATTTTCCTATCTGGTTTTCATCTTCATAATACGTCACTCAGGTCAAAATAGTTCTAAAGGCAGGACTCACCAGCTGTTGAATTGTTTCTGTGATTGCCCTATGCCAGTCGCTTATGGTGCTTTCGGTGTCATACTGCATCAGAAACTCAGCCCCCGTCCGTGTTTTCAGCTGAAAGCAGTCAAGATAGTCACAGTGTTAAAGGAAGACCTGGGGTCCAAAATACGCAAAGGACCAGCATATTGAATAACAAAGATATTTTTCCAACATAACCATACAAATGCACAAAAACGTTTTCTTAAATATAATGTTTACAGAAACATGAATTGATTTATATCTATGGTCAGGATTATGTTCTCCAAGCTACACTGAATGGAGGAAACTATTGTACCTCCAGGACATTTTTCTTGCTGGATTTGTCTCTTGAAGCCCAGGTTATCGTCGCCCCTCGTAGCTCCACGGTGAACTCTGGGGCTATTTGATTTATCTTGTTCTGCGTACATGAAGACATTTGCTACAAAGTTGTGGAGCCCTGAAAGTTTGTTCTCAACAATCAGACTTATCTCATGATGCACATGATACAACCTGCAATAATCATAAACGACTGGTCATAACATCACCACTGAATGATTATTTCCTTAAAATAAATTCATTCATTGAAATTGGTGGAATTTTTTAGATAATGTCAAACTGTGTTAGACCATCTTATCCGCAAAGGGCCGGTGTGTATGCAGGTTTTTGGGATAACTTTTAGGTCAGCTGTTCAAACCCAAGTAATTTAATTACCAGTAATTTCATTTATTTATTTATTTTTGTATTTTGTTTCATGTTTTATGTTGTGCTTCCCTCTCCATTTGTCTCCTAGGTCGTATTTCCATGCTTGTCCAGCACTTTGGTCAGCTGTTATTGTTGTTTTTAAAGTGCTTTATAAATAAACTTGAACTTGAACTTGAAGTGTGAGGACTCTTCAGCCAATCAGTCCTCTAATCAGTAATCTAGCTGCGGCAAAACCTGCAAAAACAATGGCCCTTCTGGATAAGATTAGTCACCCCTGCATTAGGCAAAGTAACATGTGCCTTTCTTCAGGAATACTAAAATTCATCATGAGATTTGGTATAATTCAGTGCTTGAGAAATGTTTGTGAGCAACAGAATCCCCAAGATGAAAACTACAGAGTCATTCATTGACAGGATTTGGGTGGTCAAGGGTGATTCTTACCGAGGATCCTGCTGGGACAGATTTGGGGTCTTTGTGAAAAGTCAGAATTCCCCCATGGAGTACAGTCCAAGACTGAGTCCAGTTTTTCCTGCAAAAATCATACTAACTGAAGAGACACTACAGACAAGCGTTGTTTGGACTCATAAAAAGTGAAAAAGATGGACCACTTGGATTTGCCACTCTCATTACATTAAAAGTGCACTTCAGTCGCCCTCATTCTAAAGGTGCCAGTTGCTTTAGACCTTTATGTTTGCCACACAATTTCATCAAAATCTAAACAAGTCTAAACTTACCGTAACTTTTTCCCATTCTCAGAGACCTTGGTTTTGTTGAGAATTCCAGCCTTTTCTAAAATCTGAAAGACAAATGAAGTATTGAGGGTATTGCTTCAACTCCAGGTAAAACATGGTGAAATCTTCATTTAGCATGCACTCCCCCCCCAAGCACCAAAAAGCATTTCCCTGTTAGTGTGACCCTCTTAACAGGAAAAAGGCTAATTAGAGACAACAAACAACTCCAAGAGTGATCAAGATCGATCAAGCTCAGAAAATGTAGTTGGCATCTGATGATGCAAACCTTGTTAGCAAACAGACAGAAATATATTGTAACTGTGAACTATGCCTGTTCAGGACAACAGATTCAAAATGCCAAGATATACTATAAGACCAGAGGTTAGTTTCACTATATAAATGAAATTATTTGCTATTTGCATAATGGTGAAGGAATTTTTAATATAAAATACATTTGGAAATGAAAATAACACCAAGCGGACAGTATGGTGTAAATTTCATTTGACTCCAGCCACAAATAATATAAAAAAATCTCAAAGTGTGAATCTCATTTGTTTCATCATCAGATATTGGTTGATGTATGCAAAGGAAAAGCTCTATTCAAGGCACTGTATACTGCACCTTGAATCATAGTGATATGGTAAAGGCAACATGGTAGATATGTACTAATTGACAACTGTATGCTACCAACTCTTAAGGAGTGACTGTAAGCCACGACCCTGAAAGCCAGAAAAAAATAATTGATTTAAATATTTCTGAAAACCAAATAAGCCCTTGGTTTCCTACTACAGAACATGATTTGATGAGGCATAAAATTCTGTTTGGGTTTCCACCATCTTAGATTTTATTAATGTGCTTGAAAGCATCAGCTCTTGAAATGTGATGAACAGGGATGTAAAACTGCGGTCGGGAGGGTGGGCGGTGAATGTGCAAGAATTGTCCTTCCTCCCACCCAGGTGTTATCCATGTGTGACACTTTTTGCTGTTGAGTGCCATGTTTGTTTGTTATTTCTTTTTCCCTGTTGCACAGGGCATTGATATTTCTCACTTGTGGGAGTGTGCTGTGTTTACACCTCAGCCTGTTGCTCTAACAATGCTGTCACACATAAAAAAATAAAATAAATAAAAACACTGGGCTGCACTGCATGCAACTGAATGTTTATGCAAGGAGAAACTGACAGAGCAAATTGATCATTTGAATATCCTGAACAGAACGTAGTACGAGGCTTAGTCGCCAGCTGAAACAGAAAGACGCAGATGATAGCAATGTCTCGGAAGCTCCCATTATGAAGAACGACAATGCGTGAAGCACTGCTTCCCTTATTTGCTAGCTGTGTTAGTAAGGAGTCATGCGGTCTTCACTGCTTCATCGGTTGTTACACCCTGAGCAGAAAGCCCAAGCTCTCAGAGTGAACCATGCAACTTCCCAGGTCAGGGTAGTCATGAAAACCCACATTGTGCTGCTGAAGCTCATAGCTCTGAACGGAGGGATTCCTCCGATGCCTGAACCTATACGGCTTCGAGGGGAATGGGGGGAGAAAAGACACACAGGACATGGTTTTGATGAGGGCAAAATTTGACTTGGGGTACTCAGATGCTGAGTTGCATGTAGGACTCCCATCGTCAGGCTTAATCTTCATCTCCAGACAGCCGGATAAGAGAAATGCTCTTACATGATGCTGCAGCTCGGGGGAATTTCCTGAGCTGGACACATCGCTGCCATGATCAGAGACGTTCCTCTTGTGAGTTGGGAAGAACTTCTGCTGAAGATGAGGAGAGGAATAACATGTTGTTGCTTCTTTAGTCAGTAACCTGGGAAGGCTGTGAACGGGGGACCCATAGCCCGTCGTCAGATGTTGCAGAAAAGGGACGGGCGAGGGTGATTCATTTTCGGTTTTGCATTTGTTACCTAGGAGGCAATTTGCATGTGTGCCTTCACAAAAAACAGCCCGACCCAGGTGTTTCCTCATGTTCAGGAACTGGCATCACAAAAGCAAGGGGGAGACGAAGTGAAGGACGCAGGATCAGGCTTTGTCAAGGTCTGACGCTTCCCTTAGTCTAGGTGCACATGACTGCACTGCTGTGAGAGCTGTGCTGAGGAAGCCAAAAGCCTAGTGCCCCTTTCTGTGCTTTGTGACCCCTCCTTCCTGGCTTGCTTGGAGACCCACCAGCCTTCACTGACACGTACCAAGTCGTCATGCGGTGAGCTGAACTGGGATGGGCTCATGGTGTGCCTCCAGTTCTTGAACATTGACGCACCCTCCTGGTTCACGCCATTCCCCATCCTGGGCTGGCTGGTCACCGAAATCTGCAGGACAGTGGAAATCAATAAAGGAATTTAGTACCATATACCAGAATAACACATCACTTATGCTTCTTTTCAGGAAGAGCCTAAAACTGATTACTCATCCAGGACGAGACGGTTTACTGACAGCCTACAGCTAATTTTAACATTGAAAATGGCATGCAAAGTAACATGGTGAATTTGACTACAGAGACAACTGTTCCCCAAAATGTCCTTTAACAACATAAATGGTGTATTTAATGCACCACATTACCTCTGGCAAGTTCCATTGAGATTTGGATCCATCCCTTAGGTAGTAGTAGGTCTGTCCCCTGTCATCCACAGACTTGATCCACTGTAAGCACAAAAAAAAAGCTACGCTAAATTCTGTAGAAATGGATGTTTTCAAATCTACCTCTACATTTACATCTGAGCTATTGTCTTACAATATGAAGCTTTATCATGCAGTCAAAATATTATTTACAAATGTATACAGACGGATAACACTACTACAAAAGAGTCACTCTGGGGAAAAGATGAAAATAAAGGGAAAAAGAAACTAGAGAGACTGCAGTATTTGGCTGATAGAAGAATTATTCTGTTCCTGCACAGAATGGTAGTTAGGATGGCATTACGCCAAATTGCGAGATCTCAGAGGTGAAGGAAGAAGAGATGCCAAGCAGGGACATGTACTATGTACTATGTACTATGTACTATGTACTATGTGCTATGTACTATGTGCTATGTACTATGTACTATGTGCTATATACTATGTGCTATGTACTATGTGCTATATACTATGTGCTATGTACTATGCGATGAGCTGCTCCAACAAGCATGTGGTGGCAAAATGATTTGCATGCTATTAAAACATCATCATTAATTATAGAAACAGTGTAACTTTCATAATGCAGCGTTCAACTGTCATATCTAGCATACTTCCCATATTGAGCTTATTCAGACTTAGAATTAATTGTGGAATTCCTACCACAATATGCATCATGTATCACCCAGTCTTTGGTTCCATGGGAATTGCTCCCTTTGGCTGTCAAGTTCATGTTCTAACCACTTCATAATAACACAAGTGGCACGATAACATGTATCTCATATACAGACACTCCTGGGGTTATGATGGTTCGCGTTACGATATTTCAACTTTGCAACGGGTATTATTCAATAAATTACATGAGATATTCAACATTTTATTATAAAACAGGCTTTGTGCTAATGACTTTGCCCAGCTGTAGGCTAATGTAAGTGTTCTAAGCATGTTTAAGGTAGGCCAAGTTAGGCTATAATGTTTGTTGGGTTAGGTGTACTGTATTAAAATGCATTTTCGCCTTACGATATTTTTCACTTACAATAGGATTATCAGAACGTCACCCCATTGTAACCGCCTGTATTCTGATGTAAATCCTTATATAAACAGATGAGTCACGTTGCCCACTCCCCACCCCCCACCTCCTCATTTACCTGTTCCTGCGTGATATCGCTGGTGAAGACCAGCAGGCCGTCTGGGTCCATAGACTGCGTCCAGCCCGGAGGAGTGCCAGGGTCCAAGCTGGCTCGTGGGATGACAGTCCGGGTGAAATGGCTTTCTTTAGCAAAGGTCAACATCAGCTCAGTCTCCTGGGGACTGTCAAGATAATCCTCCTCAGGTAGCGGGGGCTGCACACGGAATATAGGGAGAATGACTGTGGCTTTCAACAGATGGTGAGTGGCTCCCATTTCACTTTAAAAAAGTGAACTGTGAAACCTGAGTTTTGTCTTTCCACTGTTTCCATATAATGACAAGACACGGCCACTTTTCACCCTCACCCCTTCTAGCATATAGTACAAAAACAGCAGCACTGCAACCACAGAGATCAGGAACCGTTTCTACCTACAGGACAAAAGGTTATAAGTGCACTGCAGAGTAATCTGGTCATTTGCACACATTATCTATCATCAAAATTCACAGTATGATTTTTCTGTTGTTTTGTGTGATTTATCGTTCATAGTGTCTTTGTCTGCATTGCATCAATAAATCAATCAATCAGTTTTACTTGTATAATGCTTTTTCACAACAACACATTGCCTCAAAGCGCTTTACATTATCCTCACCCAAAGCCCCCAGTGAGCAAGCCAGAGGCAACAGTGACAAGGAAAAACCCCCTAGAAGGAAGAAACCTTGGGAGGAACCAGACTCAAAGGGGGGGCCAACTATTTAAGGCCACAAAGGAAGCCAAATGAACAGGATGGCAAAGTCCTAATTTACACCGTTCACATTTTAAGACATACAGTTCCTTCTCACTCTTTATGAAACACGCGAGTAAGAATCTCTCTTCCGTGGAACTATAGGACTGTTATCCAGAGTTGCTGGATTTACTCACTGAACATCCAAACCTGCAGTGAGACATTGTAAGGACACTCTTCCTTGAGTCCCTAACAAAGATCACTCTTTTGTGAACTGCCTGAAAGTTTTTCAGCCAGTGGACATGCATCCTTATTACAGCTGACACTTAACTAACACTAGGTTACTATCGGCACCCACAGTTCATCGTCCCATAAATAATTTGAGGATATTTAAGGATGGGTGTGTTTATTAGAATCACTTGCACCAAACAACAAGCTTCTTATCCAAAATTCATCCATATATATCTATTTTTTTGTTAGGCTCAGTTTAGGTTGTGAACCATGTGACATCCTGTTTATGAGTAAAACTTCATACTTTCTATGAAAGGTCTGACAGAAGACATTCATAACACTAACTATGCCAAACTATGCATCACACCTACAAAACGTTCCACAAAAACAATAACACCGCCTGCGTGAGCGACCTTTGACCTTCGACCTTTCATTGCTCGATATCCCTTAAATACGCAAGGCTGAGCACCTGACCTTCAGGCACACTTGGGCCTTCAGTGTCACGTCAACATTTGCAGACACTGCACAGACGACGGAGGTGCCATGAAGACTCCTCATGAGGGACCGTTTACCTGACAAGCAGTCAGGTAAAATATAGTAAACAAGTGAGATGCGCTTACGGGCCCATCCAGCCTGAACGCTTGTGTATCCAGAGGCTCCATGGGAGGAGAAGGAAGCTCTTCTGGGGGATCCCAAGACGTCTCCTTAGTCACGTGGTTGTAGAAATAGTGGCAACCACTGCTCTCATCAAATAACTTCTCCCAGTCGGAGTCCACCAAATCGGCTGAGGGAGGGGAGTAGGTCGGCGAGGGCGGGGGAAGATCCTCCTGAGAGAACTCGGGGTCCGTGTGAGGGGCAAAGGGATTTTCCCAGGTGGTCTGTCTAGTTACAGGGTTGTAATAATATTCTTGTCCGCTCTCCTGGTCAGTGTGTACCTCCCATTCCTGGGAGTCCAGGGACCGGTGTCGAGACACGGCGATTGCGGGCGGCGATTGGTGGATGTTCTTCCGGAGCGCCTCTATGTTGACGTAAACTGCAGTCTCTGAGCACTCGGCATTAGCCTGAGGGAGAATCCAGAGAATCAAGGGTCAGTGATGGCAGCACCAAGTGTTCAGAAATCTGGACCAAAGCTCACAGTTGTTAATGTTTTTTGTTTATTAGGATATAAACTGGCTTTACACATCACCATGTAGTTTTCCTCTGTGCAGCAAAACCTAGTCTAGTTCAAAGTGGCTGCTTCTCTGTCAGCCCTTTAACTTTGTTCATCTCCTTGGGTAGTCAAGGTCTGAGCAAAATCAGCAGCTAAAATATACAGTATTGTGCACAAGTCTTAGGCAGTGTAAGAAAATTATGCTTATATGATCTTCCTGTTGATGTAAAAATATGACATTAAGTCAGTCAGAGTGTCAGCTTGGTTATTTAGAAACCTCTCCTAAAATCACCACAGTATTTCCTGCCATCATTCAATACATCCACATATCTCTTGACTCAACCACTGGCACACCTCATTTCGCTAATCAGTACTTCATTTACTTTTTCAATTAATCAAATAAAGTACTTAAGTGAGCTGGTGGTGAAATTTAGCAAGCATATGAAATGGCTGAGGTGCCCCTGAGGAGAGGTTTGGGGACTGAAGCGGCGTTCATCTCGCCATCCAACTAGATATCAGAGACTTTTTGGAGAACAGTTCTTACTGGTTTTGGTTGTTTCTTTTTGTTCGGATATGTTCTAATGCTAAACTGTGTTTTTGTTCTGAGCACATACACACCTACTACCCAGATTAACAGCTTTAAACGTTTCCCTTGGCTACCTAAGACTTTTGCACAGTGCTGTAAATTTGCAATTTATTTATTTAGCTTACACTTTTATCAACAGTGAGATGCATTTTTTAAAAAAGCAGGGTCAGACGGTCTCTGGAACTACCGGAGGCTAAGGGCCTCGCTAAAGGGCCCAATGGTAAAAGTGCTCTGCATGCCCTGAGATTAGAGCCACCTCATCCCCTCCATGTCTGTGAGTCAACAGAACCATTGTTGAACAGTAAGTTGTCACTCTGAGTAAACTTTTATTGTTGTATTGACTAAAGGACTTAAACAGCAGGCCTTTCACTGAAAACCAAACTGCATAAAATCGGGCTAGTCTTCAGAAGCTTAACAAATTTCCAAGTGAGGAATTTACTCGTGAATTATTCCTAGTATCCTTTTGTAAAAATCCTATATGATAGAAGGAAACTAATACAATGTTAATGAGACCCTGCTTAAGTGATTATAGAAGATAGACGAGCGTATATCTGTACGATTGCGCAAATACAGCATCATACCCACATCCACCTTTAATGAGCTGCTGAAGCAGCGGTGCACTGAGCATGTTACAAACTCACGCGTGTTCATAAACATAAAAGGGATATTTTTAGGGTGACTGTCACCCACTGGCCAAGTCTTGAAGTTAAGAGCTTAAAAAAGGACCGCTGTGAGATGCTGAGAGGAGCGACCGCCTGCCCATTCGTGTCTCTGGGGAAGCATTTATAGACACGTCTCTCCGCCAGAGCTTCCGGTGCAGTGCCAGTTCAGGAAATGAAGAGAGAGACAGACAGACAGACACAGAGAAACATCAGGACGCCCAGAGCGCAGTCAGAGACCCCTGCCTCTCCTTCATTTTGCTCGTCCGCCACGCATATCTCTCCCAGCAGTGACTCCATGGACGCACAGCAAATGACGGCAAATGACGGCAATGCAAATCATACAGAAGTGCCAAACGTGCACGATAAACCCACCACCACCTTTGACACCGTGAATTGGTATTAAAAACAGCGGAACGCAGAGGGTAGCCCTCTTTAAACTTCATCCAAAAATAACAAAGTTCAACCACAAATAAAGAAAAAAATAAATGCCACAAATGTCAAGTCAAAGAAAACCTAAATAATAATAATAATAAATAGTTGAACCTTTATTGTCCCTCATGGGGAAATTCTTTTTATGCCTCCATCAACTTGCTCTTTGTAGAACAAGCTGTCTGTGAAGGGCAGCCACCTGTTGGGGCACCCAGGGAGTGGGGGTTAAGGGCCTTGCTCAAGGACCTGCAGACATGCTGAGGCTGGGTTTGGACTGGCGACCTTGTGATTAAAAGCACACAGGCTTAGCCCACTGAGCCACACACTGCCCCCAATTACATATTGCCCCCAATTACATATTGCCCCCAATTACATATTGCCCCCAATACAATTGGCAGGGAAATTGTGGATGAAATAGAAGGTCTCAAATAAATAAATAGATGGACAGACAGACAGATAAACAGGTACACTCTCAGAAAGAAGCGTAAAAAATTGTATCTTTGCTTGTCAATAGGGCTATACCCTCAAGGATTTGCTCCTTGTACCCTTAGTTGTAGGTAATTGTACCTTTTAAGGTACAGAAATGCACCCAGTGACAAGCAAAGGTAAGAATTTTTACCATTTTCTCTGAGTGTAGAAGGATGTAAAATGATAACAAGGGTTACTTAAGTTAATGGATGGTTATCAAGCAATTTCACAAGGCACATGAAAATAAAGTTGAAACCAGATGAGTTATAGGCTGTAGCTCTAATGCTATTTTAAGAACTACCCCTCTTCCTCCACTTCCCTCTAGAAGCACCAGACAGTGAAAAGGTTAGCAAAGATCAAGCCCAGTTCCCATAGTACAGGGTCTTTCAAATTTATTTTTATTTTTCTGATGTCAGTATCATGCTGATCAAACCTTTTGTTTGGCAACCAAAAACAATTACGGTCAGATGAGGAAGGTGGACTCACTGACAGCTGAAGCTAACATTTACCCGCGGCTTCTCCATTTACCGTTAACGCAATGCGATGTTTTTGAAGCGGCACTGAAACATGTGAGGCCTGTGCAGGTGGAAGCACCGTGCAAAGGAAAGTCCCCGAAATATTGTTAAAAAACGTTCAGAAAGGAATGCCCCCCCCCCTCCCCCTCTGCCTCCCCCCAGTGGCTGAATCTCCCCTATTCTGCTCTCATCTGTTTGTTTCACCTGGCTTCAGTACCGGCGTTCAACTGGTTCAGCTGCGTTGAGCATTTTGCGCCTTTAATTATGACTGTGATCTTCTATGGTCTAGCTGCTGCTCTGGGGATGAGGGATGAGAGGAGGCACGGCAGGCAATGCGGGAGACAAAATGCAGATAATAGGCTGCGGCGCTTATTCTTTAGTGATTTACCAGGGTAATGAGCTACTGTATACAGACCAGGCATTTTTAAAGTACTGGAAATTTTTACAACATGTGTAGTTGTTGGTTAATCATTAATTAATCATTAATGCTCTTATGCTCTTTAACTCACTAGGACGGTCATCATAAGTCATACCTGGACCTCAACAGACAGTTCCAAAGGTGTAATCAACTTACACAGACCTGCAACTAATATGTAAAAATAACAACACTAATTAGGCACCCCCCCTCCCACCATGGAGGGCTGAGTGCAACTATAAATGTTATAAACGGATGTGCCGTCGAGCTGTTTCATACGACAAACTGAGATGTGACAATGTTCTGCTGATCCCTCTATAGCTCGTTTATTACTACGAAACACCACAAGCTTCAGAGCCTGAAAGATGTCACAGGTTTTGAGTCATCACATTCCTCCGTGCTCTTTAGCACAGAGGAAGGAAACTGCGAAAACAGGCAACATGCAGCCTTCACGTATGAAGTGCATGTGAACCATAAATAAGTTGCAGGACGATCACACCCGCCATCACATGCAAGTGACATATCACGACATGTATTTTGCACATTAATAGGCGTTTATTGGTCCAGCTGATACACCAGGAAGTGAAGTTTCCGAAATCACAAGAGAAAACCCATTCACAACACGGCTAACTGAAAAGCACTGCACCTCGGAGCCAACCTACACAAGAACCTGCAGTTTTGAAAGAGAGAGACAGGACTGAACATACCTGGTTACTCACAGGAAGGGTCATGGCTCTGGGCCTGAAACCACCATGATCCCCAAACATCACGTCGACCATGCTGTCCTGGAGAGACAGCCGACCGCGAACAAAAGTAACCCCACTGAGCCCTCGCCACCTCGCACAGACACAGCCTCACACAGTCAGCAGCGTCCTCAGCTCCCAGCCAATAGTGGCATCCGCTGGTATAAACAGAAAAAAGAGAACTGCCTCCTTGGTTAGATCACAAACAAGCGTAAGAGGGAGTGACACGGCAAGAGAAAGAGAGGACAGGTCATCTATATTTCCTGCAAGCTGTGCAAAAGGAAGTGCTGATATTGAAACTAACCTTTTAGGATGTTATTTACCTAAATGACAAATTAATTAGTGTTTGCTGCAGAATTGGAGGAAAAAGCTTTTTGTTTACTTTGTTTTATTTATAATTTGCCAAAACTAATGTGCAGAAATCACCTTTCATTTAACCAGCCTGAAAACTCTTTGGTGCCTAGACTTCTTTCATAACCCATCTGAATGTACATGAAGGTGTTAAGTCTCAGTAATGCCAAACTCTCAGATTAAAATACTGGTATTAAAGATGATGGCTGATTTTACTATTCAGGTTGTGGAGTATAGATACTACAAACTAGCACAAAACATACATTCTTGCATTAGGCTCTTATCGGTTGCATACAGGAAAAATGTCTAAAACCTGAGATGTAGCCAGGGTAAGATTTTGGAATTCAGGTTTGTCAGTACCGGAAGCGTTCGGTGGGTGGAGCATGTGTTTCTCAATTGAAACTTCTCATCTGTCTCAAGAAGGAGGACCAACCTAACAGTACAGTCTGACTGGAGTTACAAAGATGGCTGCAAAATTCTCCGGTTATCACGCTGACACACCCACACAAACCAGGAAGTGCCACTTCTGAGGACGCAGCTTTAATCACCAACAGGGGGCGGCAGATAGATGTTGCTGCTGCTGTGATGCAGACGTTATGCTTTACCGAACTATTCGTGGCCAGGTCATTAAGACCCTGCAGCAAGCTGCTCCGAGTGGTTCCGTTAGACCTCCTGTAAGTGTCACCAGGCTGGCAGACATCATGCCGTAAGTTGCACGGCATTACCAGTCTAGCCGGTCCTG